CTCTCTCCTCTCTCTCCTTCTCTCTCTCTCTCTCTCCGCTCTCTCTCTCTTCTCTCTCTCTCTCCTCTCTTCTCTCTCTCTCTCCTCTCGTCTCTCCTCTCTCTCTCTCTCTCTCTCTCTCTCTTCTCTCTCTATCTCTCTCTCCTCTCTCTTCTCTCTCTCCTCTCTCTCTCTATCTCATCAGAATCGTATTATATGCCGTCCAACCACTCTTGTGATGTAACGCTGTAGAGCAGGCATCATAAATATGAACGCGAACCATTTGTTGCATTCAGTTTCGAGACGCGGTGCATTCTTCTGTCGCTCGTAGCCCTAATACCCGATATTTGTCGGTATGATGGCGGTTGGAGGCGTGTTGCTATTTAGCGCAACAAGCACATTTATTTTCCAGACATTCAGCTCCCGGATAGCATCCAACACGCAGTGAACTGACTCACAAGAGGCTCATGGTGCTCGTCGTTGACCTCAGATCATATGTCACCAATCGAACCACGGTGTCGCCCATAAGGTTGTGACACATCTGTCATCAGTTTCGCACCTTATTTCTGGTGTTCGGTTCACCTCCCCATTCATCAACAGGGCGTATTCGTGTTCAACGTAGCCAACTTCACGCCCGTCAAGTACGTCAACTATGAGTACCCGTGGTGGGCGCACCTGATTGGCATCATGCTGGGCCTGTCATCTATGCTCTGCCCACCTACGTTCTTCATCTACTCGTTCTTGAAGGCAGAGGGCTCCTTCACTGAGGTGAGACTTTTGTTGGCCGATCAGAGGCTGGCTAATGGTAGGGAAAAATATGTGGTACACCTGTTTTGACGTTCTGGTATAGCTTTCCAGGTAAAGTGACGAGCGACTTTGGAAAACATTAAGTTGAGAATGTGTAGCTTTTGTAAACTTTTCAGTCCTTGGTTTTTCTTCCTCCCAACGTATTCTTTTGCTGACCCGAAAAGCTTGGTCACACTGCAATATAAGGGTGTTTTTGCTTTTCTTAAAACATCAGGCCCCTAGATTGACTTTTTAAGTGCGGGAAAACCTCATCCAGGAGGCTTTGAACAAGGTTGACGGGATCTAATTTTATTCAACGACAGTACTGGTTGCTTCAGCGAGGGCCAAATCGCCCAAAAGCTGAGCTTGGAATATCGTCAAGAGGAATCCGCAGACTGTGCTGTCAATATTTCTCTAACAACAAGGTCTCCATGTGTTTTTTTTTTTTTGCTTGGCCTTTCTGTTATATTGCTGGCTGGCTATTGTTCCCAACAATGTCGAAAACCGGGGGTCCTTCCTAATAACGTCAAACGTTATTTCAGCGACTGAAAACGATTTGCCGCCCCGAAATTGGCAACGTGACCAACAAAAACGTCGGCAAGTTTGACTCGATGCTCTAAAAGCACGATCACCAGCCATTTCGCTTTGATGTGAAAAAGACCGCCAGACGTCAGGCGGTCGATATCGTCCGCGGTTGTCGCCCTGGCGGTCGATCTGAGCAGCTGCAGTTCACCGCCTCGCCGCTGCGATGCGCAGCGGAGCAACCCTGTCTTCCTGGAATCCCGTCTGCACGGGTTCGCCAGTCTTCCAGTGCGAAACGCACACAAGAGGTCTGCTTTCTGGACTGTATCGCTGTGTTGGTTCAATCGGTGACCTTTTGAAAGCCGTTTACAGCTGGGTAGTTTTGATAGCATGACATACCCGACGTGGGTTGGGTGTCTGCGTAAGTAGGTGCGATAGAGAGGACCGCTTAAGCTCGTGCGAGTAGTGGTGCTTGCTAGTTCTTCTTGCAACGCGTCTTCCAGTGGGTTTTCACGGTTGGTCTTCCATTTTCTGAAGGTGTTGGTAATGCTGTTGGTAACTGTGGTTGACTGTGTATTTTCAGCTTGGTAGTGAAGTAGACTCATTCGCGACATTTAGTGCGCCGCCTGAGTGCAGTGTGGACCCTCTCAAATGGAGGATAAGCTGACACCTGTGGTCTGCTGACCTCATACTGTTCATGTACCTCGCGAGCGTTTCCCATACGCATCATGCGCGAAAACTCGGCTTGTATTATGAATTTATCATTGACGTGATGTGCTCGGACTAACGAAACACGTACCTGCGGCAAGGAGGGTTATGCTTTGGATGGCTGAAATATTTGAGCTCGTGCTCGTGGGGCAGCTTGGGAACATTCATGAATTAAGATGTTTTTTTTTCTACAAAATTATAAGTTGAGACCATGGCGCAAATGCTCATGCTATGGAGGGCGTAAAATAATATCCCAGCTTTGTCCCAAAAAGGTGTCCCGTTCAGTTATTCTAGTATAAAATATTGCTGCATCAACTGCTGACAAACGTCATGAAAGCTTGTTGCCACTCTAATGCGATGAAGGTTTTTCATTACCTGCGCTGCTTCATGCGCGCAGAATGTTCGAATTTTCCCCAAACACCTGATGTCCTCTTAGTTTGTGACCAGCGGATGCAGTTGAATCTACACGTTATCACGAGGACAATTCTGCTTCTATTGTGGAACGCGTTCTGTACGATAATGCCTGCAAGATTTAGGCTCGAACGTCTGTCAGAGCCCTTGTAAAAGCTATGCTGATTGGCTGACAGTACTTGAGGGTATTCTGAACTTGCCGCAGCTTGTGCGCTGGTATCCCGTCCGGGACCACTGGCTGCACATAAGTGGAGCTTTCCCAATTGCAGACGACCGTTTTATCAAGTGACAATCAGAAATGAATTATGCATATCACTAGCAAGCTCTTTGCAAGCGCTCATGCCAGGTCTAAGTGGGATGTAATTTAGTGTTAAGGCCGGAATGCTGACGACTGAAAAATCGTCATTTTGACAAACCTTCGGATTCATTTGCTCATAAGGACATAATTCGTACACAACTTGCTTCACGAACAAAACATGACATCACGTTGCTCTCAAAGCAGTGGTGGTAAAGTAGCTGAAGCTGTTTTCGCTGAGCAAGTGACAAGGATATAGTCCGTTCATACCATCAGCCAAGTGTCAGAGGATCATTGGGTTAAAGGCTGAGAGCATTTGTCTGGGCCTTGGCAATGACACCTGTATCTCGTCTGGTTTCACAACTATCTCCATATATTAAACAAGTGAAGAACGAGTTATGCATCCTTATACTATCCCGTAAAACGTCACATTCCATTAACACGCGTTTTCAGGTAAAACATAAGCTCCCCATGACCTCATTTTGTCACTTCAACATAAACATAGCAGTTGCACCCAAGATGAAGGTGCGTAAGCATAATCAGGTGCATAAGCCGTCAGTGAGAGCAGTTAGCACAACACGCTGGGTAAGCCTGAGGCGCGTCTAAATAGTCTCTCCTGCGCCAATATCACGCCATGCGGCAGCCTAATCCGCCAGGTCAAATATTTTGCTTTCCGTCTTACCGAAGGCGCAGGAGTTACTATGCGCTGCATCAGGACTCGAACGGCATATATATCAGCAGTTCTGTCGGTCTAGGGACATATCCGCTTTTCCGTTAAAAGCATAAGTATGCGTCTTCTACATGTAATATGTACCGGTCGGTCCCTGTTTGCATTATCTAGGTGCGGGAGCTAAGTGGTCCGGGCAAAAATACTTTAAGCACCGTGCCGTCTAGTCCTGGTGGAATTACGTCTTCCATTCTACTGATACAACCCTGTTTTACCCCGATTGCTGTCAGCGTCTGTTTTTCTGTCCTGAACTGCGCGTCGATCTCGATGGGTAAACCACTCGATGCCCTTATTTTCCTCCAGCCATGAAGATAAGGTCATTGATTGTACCCAACTGTATGCCGTTGATGTATCCATCTTCTTCTCACATTCACACAGGCTTGGGAAAGCTGGTTTTTTAATTTATATGTTTGCTGCATCGGGAGTTGTGCCAACGCAGGCTAACAATACCCGTGAGCTTTGAACGAGTGCCATTACCACGCTAAGAAACTGTAAATACACATTCTCTGTGGTAGCTGTTGGGCGAGCGCCCTCGCTCAGTCCGGCCCTTTCCATGCGCTGACCTAGGGCTTGATGGTGACCGTTTTCTAGCTCTGTGTTAGTCGTGCCGTGGCAGGTCAGTCCCCCGTCGTGTGGCGCGCCCCAGGAGGCAGTTCGTGTTCGGCTTAAGGCGTTGGTAGAGTGGCCCGGCAGCGTTGTAGAGCGGCACCGCCGCCCGGCGCTCCAGGCCGGCCGTGCCCGGACCCGCCGCTCGCGCCCGCTGCTTCGCCGACGCTCGCTGTCGCGGTGCCTGCCTGAGCCGGTCTCAGCACGTGTCTGTGGTAACCCCGCCCTCCTGTCAGAGGATCGGCACCTGTTGGCCTGAGCAGGTCTCAGTACCTCCGCGTAGTCCCGTGGCGTGTCCGCGAGACGGTAGTACTCACTTTCCCGCGGACTAGGCCGTCATCGGTGTCCTGATGACGTAGCCCACGGTTTTAGGTCGCATATTCACCCCCGCTCTTCGAACAATACATTCAAAAAAGCCATCCGTGTTTTCTTCTTCGATGCGAGTGCTCATGCACGAGCGCTTATGGTCGTAGATTGGGCAAAAGTATTCGAAACAGGTTCAGATGATAAATGTCGTACCCGGCAGCTCGTAATAGCTCGCCTGGATCGAAGGCAGTGTTCAAATATTGCAATCCAGCGAACAAAGTTAGTTGTCTTCAGAAGATTGCGGTTCCTGCACAGGTTGTTATGATTACAGATAAAAACTGTTCGCACATACAACGAAAACTGTAACGTGTACTGATCGAACTCGACCAAATACCTGTCAGAAGATGCTCTGAGTAGATAAGTTTATGTGTGATTCATCACTGGATCCTCAGAGTTGTAAACTTACAAAACCATAGCTAAGTGCCTTGATCTGCGTATAGTGCTGACAGTGCTGGTGTAAGTCGTATACATCTTCAGCTATTTAGCTGTCGTTCGTGCTTTACCACCTATGCAGTTCGCCTGTGGTCCAAAGAACCTCACCGCGGGGGAGCGTGCAGGACGCTTCACACATCACGCCACTATAACGGCGCTGCGGTGCATGTTACCGTGATCATCACCGTGCTGCACAGCCCAGCTCCCGCACTGCAAGTTGAAGCTGCATTCGCCAGCTAGTTCACCGACGACAAAACAGAGCGTAAGATCCGTCTTCTCACTCTGCATCCCACCGGCTGAAGCGCGCCACGGACCGCCATACCGCGCGCGCGACACAGGCCGCCACCCTCCGGTCCGCTCGAGACGCTCGCGCCTCGCCGGCTACACAGGGACCTCCCGGTGCGCCAGCCGGTAGAACGTGGGAAGTGACGGATCGAGCTCGCTCGCCGCGCCGCCCGCGCGCTCGTCCGAGCCGGGCTCCTGCGCGAACACCACGTCCGCCTCGAGGAACGAGTAGAGGTAGGCGGGGCCGGCCGGGTCGACGCCGGCTCTGTACGCGGCCGCCTGAGCCCAGGGGAAGAGCGGCGGCAGCGGCATCACCCGCCAGAAGTCGGCCAGTTGGCTCGGCACGGTCGGCACCGCGAACAGGTTCGCCCGCATGTCCTCCACCACCTGGTTGAAGCTGTGGAGGGACTCCGTGTCAGCGGGGCTGATGTGCGCGGCGCCGCTGATTGGTTGATAGAGTAGTTGAAACCTAGCGTACGTACATACACCCTGCTCTTAAAAGGTACGGGAGGCAGCAGGGAGAGACAGCTCTTAGTGACAAGCTTGGGGAGTGATCACTGACGGGTAGAAAATGCACGTCAGCTGGCATCACAATGTGGCACGCGTCGAGGCGTAAGACATCCGGACCGGTGAGAACCTGTCCGCGGGGTCTTCCTTGGGCCACTCACGTTGGTGTCTCTGGCCCGATGGCCTCCGTTTGGTACGGGTCTGCCGTTAGGTTGTACAGCAAAGTGGTCTCCTTGCACAGCTGGCATCCCTTGGTGATGTAGAGCTTGAAGATAGTTGGGTCCGTCTCTGCGGCATGGACCATTGCGTCAAGCATATGTAGTAAGATACCGGCGTTTGCAACGCACTGCATTTTGCTATTGTTTTCGTAACTAGCGGCCTCGTGTGGCCGTTATTGTGTGATGGGTGCCCGAAAAATTAGAAATGCGTGGCAAAGAGCACTTGTCAAACGAGCGACAACTGTCGAAACATTATTTAGAATAATGACGGGAGGACTCACGCTCGATCTCAAGGGTATGCAGCAGTGATTGAAGCTGACATGACGACTTAGGTCCTGAGCTAGGTCTCTTGATTAGCATGAGGCAGTATAACCGGAGGCTATTTACATGTACGCTTGCTCTGCCTCAGCCTCTGCTCTGTCAGTAGCATGATTAGCACTTTGACATGCAAGGAGGCTGCACACTGACCGTCCTCAGAAACAATGGTTACGCTATCCAGGTCGTCTCCTCTGTAGCTGTAATGGTAACGTTGGCTGTTCTCCCCCTGCGTCAGCATAGGGAAAAACAGGCTTCTGCCGTCCAGTTCCATGCTTAGCAGCTCCTGCGAAGCATTAGCCGCGTTCGTTCACATGACTTGCCAAAAACGACAGCCGAATGAACCAATCGAGGTCACAATCGAATCAACGTCTTGCACGAAGCGCCATTGTGACATATCATCGAGCATTCAGCTATCACTGCCAGCAAATAGTCATAATATTGCCAGCACACAATGCTGGTTAATGATCTGTTTGCATTTTAGATATTGATCAACCGAGCATATGCTACCTTTGACAGCCACGTAACAAATACATGGAATCTGAACCCTAAGATAACACAATCATGCTTTTGACATTGTCTGACACGTCCACAGACGTCAGGTCGATGCGTTGGTTTTGAGAAATGAAGGAGGTAAATAACTGAGCCTCTATCTCTCGTCCTGTCTCCGCTCCAATGTCACTGCCGCCACGCAACAATCGGCGCATGAAATTCCATACAGCTGAACGGTTCCTTAAACTACTCTGTCTTTAGCTAGCTCAGTACCATCCGCCCCTCCCATCCCACCCTCTCGCCTCTCCCCACACTCCTGCGGCGGTGCCTCACAGCGCCTTTGCCGATGACATCCACCACCGTAGGCAGCAGGTCCAGCACGGAGGTCGGCCGGTGCAGCACGTGCGGCTTCATCAGGCCCCGGTACATGAACATGCCCGGCACGCGGGCGTCAGTGATGTTGGACGTTTTCGGCGCTGCAGAGGTGCAGCGATCCGTGAGCTGCGCCGCACACCGCGTTCCCAGATGAGTCTCTGCGGTTTGGAGACGGCGCGGAGACGGGATTCCGCGCGGCTCAGCGTGATAAGCCCGGGAGCCAGGACGGCCGTGGTCAGCACCGACGAGCGCCCTTTGCAGCGGTATCCGGTCCTTGAGAAAGGCCGTTGATCGCGGACGTCTACCGTTCGTTGACATGGTAATGCATGCCCCGATGGATTAGCACGCAGCTAGTACAAGAGGGGGGAGGGGGTATCACAGGACACGCTATCTCAAAGACCACGGTTTTTGCGATGCATATTTCCGGCTTACGGTAGGACATAAGGTCGTTGAAGTCGGAGGCGAAGTAGACAATCGTGTCGTCCAGCAGCTCCAGCTCCTCCAGGTGATCGAGGACGCGACCGACGGCCCAGTCCAGCTCCAGCACGCTGTCGTAGTAGGCGTTGACGCCGCTGTTGCCGACCCGGTGTGGCGCCGTGACCGGTGGATCATGCACCTGACGGAACCGGTGGCCGTATCGGGTCACAGGTCACGGGTCGCGGGTCATGTCGGACCCAGCGGCTGCATCGGGCCACGGGTTACGGGTCACCATCGAAACCAGCGGTCGCATCGGGTTACAGGTCACGGGTCGCGGGTCAAAGTCGGACCAGCGGCTGCATGGGGCCATAGGCCACGGGTCACCATAGGAACCGGCGGTCGCATCGGGTCACGGTTCAGGCGGTAGCGCTCCGAACGGTACACGGCGACGCCTGGCGGAGTCCTTCGCTCTCGTACGGCTCTGCAAGTTCATAAAACAAGCCTTGAGTGGATCGTTTGTCGAGCGATTCCGTGGAATGCGGCAGGCTAAATTGCCTATTCATGCAATAGTAGGGCACTTGAAATGTCACTAAACCGAACCGCCTGCACTGGATAATCATGCACATTGCATCGTGCGCCGGCGGAATGATGAAATGCAGCTGGTCTGCAACTTTCCGTCTGATTGCTGTTTCCCGTCCTGAATACTGAATGCAATGATGTGACTGATATCAGTTCTAACTAACGGAGGAACGAGGAGACAAAAAGTCGTTTCAAAACAATTCAACGGAAGTAGGGAGAACTGGCACGACACGCGTTTCATGTACCAAACCATGCGCCAAACGACTTCAAACTCCATTTCTGAATAGCACATTGCAGCATTTTCACGCCTTTTCGTCTAAGACGTGAATACTTAAGGGCTATTAGGGGTGTTGTTTTATGGCTCGTCAACTGCATTGGTTATTTGCGCTTCAATGTCATGAGAAAATGTTTCTATCATTCCTACAAACCTTTCTCGAAATCTAGCTGGTGTGACAAAGTACTTACTTGTCGCTCTCTCATGCCAGGTATGCATGCCTAACTTCTCGACATCATGTGACGGGTCATTCCAAGCTGATGTATGCTTGACCTAGTTCAGCGCGTCACGCTGTACTTCAGTATTTAAGGATATGGAAACCGGATCGATTTAGCGCAGGCTGTAAGTGTGCGGAGAACGGGAAAGCTGAATTACAATGCAGAGTCCTATCAACGTGACCTGCAATGAGCAGAAAACTTCCGAGTCTCGGACTGAATGTGATGCAAACTAACAGTTATTGAGCTCGTGAACAAAAGCAAAGAGACGTAAGTTGTTAAGCGCATTTGCGAGGAGCATTATGCATGTAGCTAAAACAATAGTAATAGTCTTATTTCTCATAAAGAACAGGAGAATGGAGAAATGGATGCAGTGATATTTTGGCCACATGCCTTTATGGAAAAGGGATTTTAACCCATTCGTTCCACATTTGCAGCATGTGTAAAATTCGGCTACATTATCTGGACAGTCGAGTGCTTAGATCTAAACGCTCCCTATTTGCACGTCAAATACTTTCACTCTTTTTGATAACTAGCTCAAAAATTTCGGAACGAGAACTTTGCTCTCTGTTCTAGCTTTAAGAACTATCGCATTGGCGTCCCGAACCTTCCAGCTTCCTGTTTTAACCTGTGCCCAGTTGATCTATATCTATGCCGTGTTTTTTTTACGCTAGTGCAAGCCGTCTGTGTTGGAAACGTTCCTGACGTGAACGCATGTCGCAGCTTTTGCGATTATCGCATGTAGGATAATATGCCTGAGAGGTAGCCGCCGTCTTCATATCCCATTGTTCCTCACTTTCCCCTGACTGCCTAGAATACGCACGTGCAGGAAGCTGTGCTGCAGCAGGAACGGTTTGCCGGCGCGCTTGCTGGATTTGATGAACTCGAGCGACTCAAACAGAATAGGCAGCGTCATGCCCTGCAGCGAGTACGGCCATCGAGCGACGGCGTCATCACGGACCAGCAGGAGGTCCAGCTTCTGCTGCAGCTCCGCCGTGAGCCGCGCCTGCTCACGGAGGCTTCCGCCGGAGGTGACCACTTGCGCCAGCCACTGGTACCAGGCCGCCTCGGCAATCGGCCGGTAGATGGACCTGACCGCCGACTGGTTGGCCATCACCTCCAGGTAGGCGTTGAGCTCCTGCATCGTTGGCAACAGGCTCTCCTCCAGCTGCTCCGGCTCGCTGATGGACACGCTCAGCGGCACGCCGTGGAACGAGTCGAAGCCGTGCTTCAGCGGCGAGTGGCAGGCATCCGCCCACGACTCGCACGCCCAGCCCAGCTCCCAGCCGCCTGCGGGAGCAGAGAAGGACTGTCAGCCTAGCTCCCAGCCGCCTGCGGGAGCGGGAGGAACTGTCAGCCCAGTTCCCAGCCGCCTGCAGGAGCGGGAGGAACTGTCAGCCCAGTTCCCAGCCGCCTGCAGGAGCGGGAGGAACTGTCAGCCCAGCCCCCAGCCGCCTACGGGAGCGGGAGGAAATGTCAGCCCAGCTCCCAGCCGCCTGCGGGAGCGGAAGGAACTGTCAGCCCAGCTCCCAGCCGCCTGCGGGAGCGGGAGGAACTGTCAGCCCAGCTCCCAGCCGCCTGCGGGAGCGGGCGGAACTGTCAGCCCAGCTCCCAGCCGCCTGCGGGAGTAGAGAGTGGCTGTCGGCCCAGCTCCCAGCCGCCTGCGGGAGCAGAGAGTGACTGTCGGCCCAGCTCACAGCCGCCTGCGGGAGCAGAGGGGTACTGTTAGCCCAGCTCTCAGATGTCTGCAGAGAGCGGTTGTCAGTCCAGCTTACAGTTGCCTGCAGAGTGTAGCTGTTGGCTGTCACAGGAGCGGGCCATACGAGTGGCCGGCGCACAAAGCGCTTTGACTTCGCTGGGGCTGCGCGTATATATATATATATATATATATATATATATATATATACACATAATATCATGCATGTCACTCATTTACGATGCAGACAGCCATTAACTTCGAGGGGTAAACGACATGGCTGGTTTAGAACAACAGTTCTGCAGCTCATTGCGCTGGTAGTTGTGAAATAAAATGCCGACGGACGGACATCAAAAATCGCGTCACCGTTCGCCTGCTACATACCTGCGGCCTTTGTTCGATAACCGGACTTCTTCAAGAGGTCAGCATAGGTCAGTGTCGAGTTGGGCAGCCCTGCCCGGCTGAGAGTGTGCAGGATCTGGCGGACCCCCTGTTCGCTCTCCTGAAGACCTGCAGGCACGGAAGTGTGACAGCCGCCGTCACGCGAGGCGTGACTGCGCGAGACAAGCGCGGACGTCGATCAGTGGAGCTCCTCCAGTAATCGTGCGGAGCTCCGCTCGCCGAGTTACGCCAAACACTACACCACGGGGCCAGTTTACGGGTCACACCCCAGTGAGCCGTCTCCATGGAGCGCGTCGAACCGCCATCCGGTCACCACCCCGTCAACACGGCGCAGAGCCCCCGCCGGCCGCGGAGCGGAGCCCCGCGGGCGCACGTACCGTAGCGTGTGGGCATCTGTCCGGTCAGATGGGCCGCCCGGTTGGCCGTCGGTGTGAGCGCCGGGACCGTGTGGTGTCGCAGCAGCACGCCCCCGGCCGCCAGTCTGCCGGCACGGACACGCGTGAGCGCACCGGCCCCGACGGCCACCCTTCCGGTGGTGAGGTGGGACGGGCCGGCTAACGGGCCGCCGCTGACCTGTGTCTGCGCCGGGAGTTGGCCGCCGCTGATCGGCGTCTGCGCCGGGGAACTGGTCGCCGCTGATCGGTGTCTGTGCCCGGGAGTTGGCCGCCGCTGATCTGTGTCTGCACCGGGGAGTTGGCCGCCGCTGATCGGTGTCTGCACCGGGGAGTTGGCCGCCGCTGATCGGTGTCTGTGCCCGGGAGTTGGCCGCCGCTGATCGGTATCTGCACCGGGGAGCTGGCCACCGCTGATCTGTGACTGCGCCGGGAGCTGGCCACCGCTGATCTGTGACTGCGCCGGGAGCTGGCCACCGCTGATGGGTGTCTGCGCCGGGGAGCTGGCCACCGCTGATCGGTGTCTGCGCCGTGGCCACCGCTGGTCTGAGCCTGCATCGAGGAGTTGGCCGAAAAGGCGACGGGAGGGATTTTTGCGGGCTGGGTGAGCACATGGTGTTTACATAGAATGGGTCGCGGCTTGGGTTGGGTACAGACTTTTGGAAAGTTGCGGGTGTGGATAAGGGTAAGATGCAAACAGATGTAAGATGTAAACAAATATAAGATGTAAACAAATACAACATGTAAGCAGACTTAAGATATAAGAATTTACAGGATATTTAGGATGTATCATACACGTTGGATGGACACTTCAACAAATGCTTCACAACGTTACTGTTTGAGCTTCTTTTGGTCACCGGCAGCTCCATTCAACTCCTGTTGCAATTATGAAAGCAAAGAGAAACAATTTTGGGTGGAAACTTAATCAAAACTTTCCCATTATCTAAACTTAAAGTGCTGCAAAAATGCAAACGGGTGGGTGACGGGTGGGTATAACTGATTGGAGGTGGGTAAGGGGTGGATATGGACATAATCCCACCGGTAATGGATAGATGGTGTAAAGGAAACCTAACCCGCGAAGGCCTCTCCATAACGTGACAGGGCAGAGCACGAAGGCAGCGGGTAGACTACTGTCTGATCCCGCCAAAGAGAAGTCGGCTCTGACTCCGACTCCGACTCAAGACATCTGCGTCTGGGCGTGGCCGTGGTCAGCGTGGTACGATCCGGCGTCGAACCCGCCGAGGATCACGTCTTATTATGGATGTAATCCACTCTCGTCGGTGAGAAGATCGCCGCGGTTTTGAACAGGACAGAGTTAGTCGAACTATTAAAAGACAAATATGGAGCATTTGCTTCGCTAATGGAACAGATGCAAGTACTCCAAGCGTTGTTTCGGTGGCGCTTGACCAGTGAAAGGAAAGCTCCAGATCTTGTGTCACATTCTCATTCGACCCACCCAAGGCTTTGGCTAAAAGCACTGGTCGATGCCGGCCCCGATGTTATCACGGCCTCGCCGAATTTGAACATCTCCTGGCTCACTTCGGCTTGACTAATCCCGCGTCCAGTTCGAGTTCGCATGCAGTGAACCACCAGCGTGGCACCTGAGCCGGGTTGCGAGGCATGGCCAAGGACTACTGCACCTTTCGCGGGTGTCCTTGGACGACTGACACTGCAGCCAGCCCGCGATGGCACTCGGGCTTGTCCTGCTTACGACCCGATAGATATGAATCATAGTCAAGTCTGCCTTCTGCATTGTTCTGCATTGGGGGCGGCCTCTATGCCCAGCAGTGGGAGAGAACACGATGTGCTACATAGGTGATGCATGCAGAAATGATCATAGCACATGAGAATCATCGTGTTTTCCTTCAGATTTTTCCTTCAGAGCCGCCTCCGTGGTCTTGGGGAAAGATGCTGGACTCGTAATCCAGCGGCACTGGGTACGAGTCCCAGAGTGGGCGCATTGTTTGACCCGACTGAAATGGAAAGGCCAGCTGGCAACTGGCCAACGAGGCTCAACCCAGACCCGAGGCGGCCGTGTCGCAGCATTGTGCGGCACGTAAAACCCTCCGCATTCCTGTCCGGCGAAAGGGCGGAGGCAAAATTATCTGTTGAAATGGACGGCACGCTTGGGTGGTGGGTTCGGGGTACACGCAACAAGCTGTGCTTAGCCGGTACTCTGAATCCGAAGTCACCCATACAAACCATTCGAGATAAATTTATTTTAAAAAAAGATTCGGACGTCAAAGCCCGTGACCTGGTTGTGTTCTTTGGTCTTTTTTACTTTTTTTGTTGCCGAATGTGACGATCAGATGCGGTTGCTAATTTCCAAAGGGCCGCTCTAGTCGCCGCTCTAGTCGCCAAGTTTTGTATTATACACATTTATCGACACATTTTTAAGTATCCTTCCTAAAATTAAAGGCTGCAGTAGGTATCTATTTCTACCGCAAATAATTCAGAACACCATTCAAGTCACACCACTTCCCATAGAATCATTTACTTCGGTGGGTATTAGCGCCGAAACATTGGCAGCTTCAGTATTTGTGGAAGAAAATTTATCGACTTTGGAAAATTAATTGGAAAAACTTTTGTCCCATACTTCAGAACTATTTGCCTAAGCTTATTATTGACCTATCAGTAAGCTGTGTTCCACGCAATGAACGGTCAAAGGTAATAACTGTACATTTTCGAGCAAAAGACATCTTTTTACCCCTTGCATGCTGTTAATGGCCTATTTGTGTTGGTATCTTAGGAACGGATTACACTGCATAATATGATCGAGCAAAAAGTACGTGGTGGCATCGACGTGGACTTTCGAGCGTGCTTCGTATGAATGAAGCCATTCCCCAAAATGGCTTTGTCGCCGATTACTTTATAAACCAAACTTTGCTACTATCGAATTTTTACCATCTTTATCCACCTGTTTGGAACCAGCTCACGTTGAATGACAAAACGAACAATTCCTTTAATCATGCTACTGATTAGTCCAGGTGATGTTACAGTCAGAATCTAAGCACATGCATTTGCAAGGACCCTCGCAACCCACGAGAATAAGATTCGACCGCCCGTGATGTTGAACTCGGGCTCACAACGCTGGATGAGGACGGAGGCCGGGCTCACAACGCCTCCCCCCCCGCTGGATGAGGACGGAGGCCGGGCTCACAACGCCCCCCGCTGGATGAGGACGGAGGCCGGGCTCACAACGCCCCCCGCTGGATGAGGACGGGGACCGGGCTCACAGCACCTCCCGCTGGATGAGGACGGAGGCCGGGCTCACAACGCCTCCCCCCCCCCCGCTGGATGAGGACGGAGGCCGGGCTCACAACGCCCCCCGCTGGATGAGGACGGAGACCAGGCTCACAACACCTCCCGCTGGATGAGGACGGGGACCGGGCTCACAACGCCTCCCGCTGGATGAGGACGGGGACCGGGCTCACAACGCCTCCCGCTGGATGAGGACGGAGGCCGGGCTCGCAGACACCGTACCAGCGGGAAGACAGAGCTGACCCTCGGGCTTCGCAGTTGCCCCAGCTCAGCCTCCCGCTGGATGAGGACGGAGACCGGGCCCGCAGACACCGTACCAACGGTACGACAGAGCTGACCCTCGGGCTTCGCAGTCGCCCCAGCTCAGCCTCCCGCTGGATGAGGACGGAGACCGGGCTCGCAGACGGGACGACAGAGCTGACCCTCGGCCCTCGCAGTCTCCCCAGCTCAGCCTCCCGCTGGATGAGGACGGAGACCGGGCTCGCAGACGGGACGACAGAGCTGACCCTCGGCCCTCGCAGTCTCCCCAGCTCAGCCTCCCGCTGGATGAGGACGGAGACCGGGCTCGCAGACGGGACGACAGAGCTGATCCTCGGCCTTCGCAGTCGCCCCAGCTTACGGCCACCAAGGCAACTATGCACTGCAAACACTCACTGACACAAACTGATAAATAGGCTCCCACATGACGCTCGGGGCCTTGGGACCAGAGGCCTTGATGCTGCCCGGCATCCGGGCTCCATGTGACTGGTCCGCTGATCCGGTGGGTCGAAGACCCATCTCCAGTCAACATAAAGCCTTGGGTTTAACTGAGCACATAAGCTGTCAGCTTACATAAGCATGCATTCGTTCGGGACCAATAGATCAAGATGGCGATAGCAGAACGCTATCACATCATCACGGCGTTAGGAAGCACAGCATCACGACGACGCTGTACATCAACCATCAATGATGCTGTTTCGTCGTTAACAGTGAGCAGTGACAACGTTGTGCAAACTGAGGACACACACACACACACACACACACACACACACACACATATATATATATATATATATATATATATATATATATATATATACACACCTAAATTTCAAACAGTCTCCACTGTGAGCCTGCACAACGCTGGTATGTCAGAAGTCTGTGGTCTTCAATTAATCATTCGACAGGAATTGAAGCGAAACCAAAAAAGAACAGATCGTGATGCAACTCTTCCGTCTAATTTCGACCATACAAGGAAGACGCGAATCACGAACGGTTCTTTTTCGGTTTTCCGTTCGATTCCTGTCAAACGACTAGGTGAAGCCGGCAGACGGCCGGCAGGTCGGCGTAGTTCAGGCTCACAACGGGGATTGATTGACATCGAGGTTCCAGGCAAGAATGCACAGCACTGATCTCCAGCCGTCCATGGCGCATGATGTATGTCACTTGTGCGAGAGCGAAAACAAATCCATTGTGCCAGTCTTTACAGGTTTATTATATATGCTCCGTTTTCTTACGTCATCTGCAACAAAAGCAAGAACGGAACACGAACTAGATATCAGCAACAGATTATTGAAAACGTGCGCTCGCCCATATGACGCGCATGTAAAGGCATGCGATTCCGCTGAAAGTGTTCTTATGGCTCTTTCACTATTACGTTTTTTTTGCACGCTGGACGCGCGTACACATCGCCAGGCTATAAACTGCACAGCTGCCTACGTCATACTTTTGGTGAATGCGCCAGACTCTCCGATAGCTATCGCCACTGCACACAGGATATAATTTATTACACAATCTCCATGCGGTCACGATGGGCAGCGTTCTAGAAAGGGAGAGAATTTAAAACATTTCAGAGAGGACCCAAGGTTCTGTTTGCCTGTTGGGATGCCAAGCTCGCTACTTATTTGTCATATTTGCAAACGATTGACAGTGGGCTATCGATCGAGGCATTCTTGCATGCCTTTGAAATGATCTAAATGCACATTTGGACCCGAGGATGTCTTAACTTGCGGCGAGCAAACCGCATTAAATCATAACTCGAACATCCTCGGGTAGATATCATACGTCGCACACTCATGACTTCTCAGGGCTTTGCGCCCGTCCGACATGCTTAAGAAGTGTCTTGATGATTGAACCATAACACAAACATATGTGCACCATGGCATCATACGCGGCTCAGTGGCCGTAATGAAGAGGGATTCGGCTGGTTTTCGGCTTTCCGGCTGCGGTGCGCGTGACGGAGAAAGCACACACGAGTAGGCATGTTGCATTCAACATCGAGAAGAATAAATGTCCCTGAAGTACGCGAGACATTCTGACAAGACAAACGCTCTTCGTAATGCCATGTGAAAGCTATCTTCAATGCTCGCTAGCAAAGGCGAGGTCAAACGTTCTGAAAGCGACGCTATGGATGGCGCGGGTCTGAGCTGAAGGTCAGAGATGTGTTCCATTTCGCCGGCCGCAAAGCGATGCTCAAACAGCCCACCCTTTTTGGACGACTCAGCTTGAATACGATGTGGGCCAGAGAAAATTTAAGCTCCTGGTTTTTCCACATTGTGAGTTGGGGTTTCGGCATTCTAGAGGTTCTTGTTCTGCCAATAATCCACCTTCAATATACGAAGATGTGATGATTGAGCGACGGTATCATGCAGGCAGCGCGGGCAACGCGCTCTGAATATTGTCAACAAGGCCAATGCTTACCTGATAACGATGTGTCCAGCCTCCCCCCCCCCCCTGGTACATTGGTGGGGGGGGGGGGCAGTTATTGTTGGAATAGGAGCTCCCAACTCATAATGTAGCTTCCAGTTTTTAAAGAAAATATTCCAAAAGTCATGTTTTACTTCATCAGTCGGACCAGACAACAAACAAGTTTCAGCGACGGAAGCCGATTGGCACCTAAAACATCTTTGTACAGAAGCAGCCGTCTACTTGCATTTGCGGGAGGATTTTACGCAAGTCTTGATTTAAAATGACAGTTTCTCGCACCTTCATGTCATCATTATCCTCAGCACATTCCGGAAGCCAGCGCCTGACGCCTAAGAATGCCAATGCACGGGACCTGGGGGAAACACTGGGCCCGCGGTTGACGTCCACTTCTCTGCAGAGGCGATGAGATGCCGCCGCCCGCGCCTCACCACCGACCAATCGCGCCTGTCACGCGGTGCCGCCACGCCGCCTGAAAATCTGTCACCGTAGCCAGCGACCGAGCCTGAACGAAGCTTGAGGCTCGCTGGAGGTCGGCGTCACTGACCTGTCAATGTTGGGGGTGGGCGCCGGCGTGTCGGGATTGTAACAACTCAGGTCGTCAGTCCGGACGTTGTTAGCCAGGAGGATGACCACGTTGGGGATGGCCGGGGCGGCCGCCTCCAGCAACATGGCCAGCACCAGCAGCCGGAGCGTCATGGCAAGGCCGCACCGTGGCGAAGCGGCAGGTCAGCGGGCCGAGGTCGGCGCACGACTGGCGGCCGGCGGCGGCCGCACAGCGTCTGTCACCGGCGCTCTCGCAAACCGGTCCCCCGCCCGCGCCCGCCATCTCGACCTGAGGCGCACGCTTCCGCGCTCTCGGCGCAGCTCGTGCCGCCGGCTGCAGTCCTGCGACCTCCGACCGGTAGCGCTCAGTTCATCGGCGTCTCGGGATCACGCGGCAGGTCCGGCCCGCGGATCCGGCGGGCCGCCGGCCGGACCGCAGCGTCCTTACGACCGCTGCGGTCGGCAGGCGCGGCTCACTCCGGCGGCCGCGTCGTGCGTTCACCTCGTAACCTTGCCGAGGCGGATCAGGCTGCATGTAGTTTGCATAACAAAGGGGCCGGTGTTGCTTTTGGGCCGACTGTTGGGAGGTCGGCGTGATCGCCGAGAGGCGAGACGCTCGATAAATGATGACGATGGACTGTTCCGCTGTGCCTGCGTCATGCGAGTACTGCTGGTGGGCCATTCACGTGTCCATGGCATGGTGTACATGTTCCTGTGGCAGATATCCATGCGATTACAAACCGGCTCCCTGATGCACAGTCTGCTACATCGGTGAACAAGGTGGGACGCTGTTCAGCCGCGACGTGTACATTAATCTGACTGTGCATATTCATGCGTGATATCTGTCTCTGGTTTTCCCTGCGACTGCGAACACATCAGCAATCTTCTTTGAGTTGCGTGCAACAATCACACGTTGGTATATTTTGGCCATTTTCGCGCGGGTCTCTTTCCCAAACCATTGCAGTGTTTTAATATGCATTTATTTGCGTAGGAAAAATGTGTGGCCCACTCAAGCAGCTTGCCTTAAATGAAAAGCTTAAAGTGAACATGCACGTGGGATGAACATCCGTGCGGTATTTTCGACCCTGACTTCTGTCTGGATCCAGTTTAAGACCACTGCATGCCTCCCAAAGCAATAGATAAAAACACCTCCCACCGTCACGTCATTGTAGCTAAGCACGATGAACAAGGCACGGGCTTACTGTCCGAGATGTAATCAAGGGTGATAACTCTAACTGAAGCCGTCTTGCACCGGCCGTTACCATGTTGAAACGCAGTACTTTTGCTATCGCCAGTGAAGACGTGCGGTAATGTCTTCAACGTATGATTGAGAACCTTGCTATGTCTATCAACGCAATGAAAGGAGGTTCTGAACACCTTCGTTTTAGGTACATGAATAAAGCGCCGTGGTTCGTATGCAAAGTCCAATATTTCGTGATAAGGGCGATTTGTATCTCATGGCTAAGGGTACTAATACGATCGACGTAATTCGATTATCGTCCGCTAATTTCTTGGATGTGAAGTCAGCGAGGTAACAGGGAGGCGGATTATACTACGTTGGAAGATATTATGGCGTGTAATGTGTTTCAAGCTAGAGGCTGGCCATTTACAGCTGATGTTAATGTACTGTTGTGCCCAGCTCGCGTTCGCCTTGCATGATAGTTAATCACCGTGTGTGGTAATCCTTGCATGCTGCTTGACAGCTGAGCGTTCTTAAACTCACAAGCAGCCCAAAAGTTGTTTAGCTTGCAACCAAATACATTAGCTGCGCATGGAGGGCATATATATGCTTACTGTCGTAAGCATTTTATAAGTTCAGCAGCGGGAGGCGGATTCAGTAAAAAGGTGCACGAAATGTGCGCCCCTCCTCCAACCCAGGGAGAATCCCTTCACGCGAGGAGTAGGGAGATGAAGGGATGCTTTACGAAATCGGTGCTGGTCTTCCCTAAAAACCCAAAAGAAACCGTTAACGTTGATGCGTGAGAACTAAAAGACCCAAAAAAGCCGTTAACGTTGATAAGTGAAAAGAAATGTTACCGCCAACGGCACCAGCGGACAAGTTCAACTGTCACCTCGCAGCCGTCGGTCCGCTCACCGCCGCTGACCTGGCGGTGGATGGCCCTCCCCTCCCCCAGACCATCCCTCAGGCCACAGACCTCCCCTACCTCCCATGTGTCACGACGGCCTGTCGGTGGCTGCGCCCTGAAACTCTCCGGAACTATTACAAGCCATGCGCATCTTGTCGCCTTCGCGGTCTGCAGGCCTCGGTGACAATGCTTTGCCGTACTCGGGCCATCATCTTCGGCGTCTTTCCCAGTCCTCCTGGAACCTCTCTTCAGTCGAACCCGTTCGGACATCTGGTTGCCTTAAAGATGTAAGTAATGCTTGACCCATCTCAATTTTGTCGGTTTCTTCCGATATTGAACAAAGTTTGTATGAACGCAACTATTTTGCCATCTCGTCACCTCTCATCTTTTAGCTACCTCACAACACGGAAGACCTTGGTCGGCGCCGTCGAGTGACTCACTCGCCGCATTGATAACGGTAAGCTGGAGCTTTCATCTTAGTTGACCTTAGTCGTGCATTTGGCAGCGTCGAACATGGCGTCCAGGAACTTTCAGTGGTATGGTGTTGACCCGAGGTAGCTCCGAGCTACCTTTGTGGCCTGTGGCAGGTGGTGAGAGGCGGTTTCTTACCCTTTGGCTGCCTCACGGTGTTCCTCAGGACACCAAGGTCGGCTACAGTCTCTCCAGCATCCCGACGAACGACCTAATACCATACGCACTGGTTGCTGGACTCTGCGCATCTTGAACACTCATCCGTTTTGCAGTTCCAAGGAGAGTACCCTCTTATCACTGTTACTTCTCTGGTGCCTCAGTTGGTTAGACCGCCTGCTTCCGATCCACCGACCCGTGGCGGGGTGGGTTCGAGTCGCTTCAGGCTTTCGCCGATTGCCTCTGGCAGGTGTGGCCTGCGACCGGTGGCAGCGGCCGTGCTCAAGATGAGGTGACGTCAGAGGGCAGGATGACTGTGCCAGGCATTGCAGCACGTCAAACTTGCGCCACCAAAGTCTGCCGTTGACATAGAAATTCACGATCGAATGGTAGGGGCCATGGCTCTCACCACAAACACTGCTTAGCGTGAGCTCTAACCTCAAAAATCCATTCATTCAAAAGGCTCTGATTACATATTTTTAAAGATAAAAAATCCTTCTTTACATTCAGCTTCTTAAAAATGGACCCCGTCAAAAAGACCACTACGCTCCGTGACCCCATTGACGTCACACACCATCGCCTTTCCCGCCTGCGAATACACGCATTGGTCCAATCGACAGGCCATTTTCCTGGGAAGAGCACATCATGCACATCTGCACATCTCCAACATCACCGAACAGTGCGCTTCATTCTTTTGCGTCGGTACACAATATGTCCCCATATCACACCCGAGGCATGGAACTCCTAATCTAGGGTCAGTGTTTTTCTCCTTGATTTTCCCGCCACTCATTTTTGGGGATCTGTGGCAGCAGGTCAAATAACCCCTGTTCAAGAAGTTAGAAGTGTTTCTAAAACCGTGTTCCAGGTGGGACACCTGGCGATACCAGGGTAATGCAAAAGGTATGGCACAAAATAAATATTTGCGTTAGTTGTGTTTGGTTTTATGACCGAAAAATTAATCTCACTTGTGTCGTTAGTAATCGCATTTGCACTTGCATTTTATGGTAGAACAAGCCCCAGGTATATGACAGGCCACAAGTCATATGCTGCAACAATACGGTTGATACGGTCTCAGTATGCCACGCCACCGGACGCTCAGCAAAGATCCCGAGAAACGACGTGTAAATGGCAACATACAAGAAGAAGAAGAACATGAAGAAGCTGCGCACTAGTCTCAGATCATCCCGTCAGGGTCTCTTACGCGAAACAGGCCGCCCCGTTCCCACAAGTCGTGGCGTGATCAGCTGACCAGTCAGTGGGGTCAAGTGACCCTCCGAGGAACAGCATTAAGGTTCGCCATTCGGCCCAGGTTCGCCCGCAGCAACGGAAGGGTCGAGCACGCAGTAACCGAGAGCTTGCTCGACGCGACATGACATTTGGCAAGTGCAGGCTGGCTTCCGATGTGCGCTGTAGTCCTGCTGAACCTGTATCCTCGCACCAAGGAATCGTGCGCTTGCAGACCTGTCCCGTACACCACATTTTTGGCCTTGCTATTTTGTGACCGGGTGAACAAGTCGGCTGCTAACTCCATAGAGCAGCCATCTGAAGCTGACCGCGGGAAAGCACTGACTCAGTCAGACTGAGACCCACATCCAGGGACCGGTTCTTGGGCCTTAGCTCTTGTCCAGAGCTACGTTGTAGCTCTGCTTGACGGGAAAAAGAATCCGCTTGAACTGGAAGGGGATGTCAGATGAGATGAGAGGACTCTTGGGAAGAAGACGCCGGCTCTCACGGCCCTGCCTGTCATAATGGCCGTCTTTGCAGAACTTGGAGATTCAGGTTTTGTAAGAGGATGATCACGGGTGTCGATTTGTTTTCTTTTGGGTTGGTCACTGGCACCCACAAGTCTAAGCTACCCCTCTCCCAACGGTGACTTGCCCCTCCCGCTCACCCACCCCAACCTTCCGGAGCCTAAGTATGTACATGCAAAACATCAAAAGCGAGAACTAGAATAAGGTGTCAATTCTGAAGGTTTCTCATAATCGTTTCACAGATAAAAAGAACGAGCAAAGTGCAAAGAGCGATGTAAGTTTCAGCTGAATGCATCTGACGGAGCTCGCAAGCTGTGTATGAGCTACCTACCCAAGCGTGATAAGCCGGGCGGTCCCACCTCAGAATAATGCGCTCAGCTAAGCTAGCCAAGGCTCGGAGCCACCACCAAGACACTGGCGGTGGTGTAGCGGCCTGGGCAGGCAGCCACTGCGCCTGTAAAGCCGCGTAAACAGGACCATTTTCCTTCCCAACGAGGTGTGATTCCGCACGGCGGCACGGCCGGTGAGAAAGGCGCTGGCCGGCCTTCGGGTCACCACCCTTCCGTGCGAATACCTCCTGAATAGCGGCAGCATCACAGCCGCCCAACCTTGACGCCAAGAACGCCCGACTGGGATGGAAAGGTCAGTGGCCCGGAGAGCGCGATGAAACCAGCTGGTCACGCAGACGACCGGTAGAAATCGGCGATCTCCGGCGGCGAGCTCAGCGCGACACTGAGCCAATCAGAAGCGCGCTCTAGTAGGCCTGAAAATCCGACGCATCGTAGCCAGACAAATCGCCGCAGAGAAGGGCGGGAACGATTCGGCCAGAGCGCAGGAGGAACAAACCGGTACAGGGACACTCCCAGATGTGATGCAAATAAATTAGGACTGAAGCGGCAGGCAATCTCGCGTCCGAGCGCCCACAGGATGGCTGCGTTTGGGCCGCTGGCGCGCTGTGACGTACCACCCGACAGCACACCAGGACTACCCGACCTCTTTTCCGAGACGTTAAGCGCGGCGTATCAACTTCAGGAGTAGGACAGGCGTCGTCGCTAGCTGCATCCAATGGCGTAGCCAAGTGAAGTTTAAAACATCGCTGGGGCATGACATCTTAGATGTTTGTCGGGCTTCTAAATATAAGCGGAACCCCGGGGCATCAGAATAGGGTCTAAGCACAAGGATCATATATCCTGAATGCAAAAGCCCCTTTAACCCGATGGGGCTCGTCCTATGAGAGATCCCGGCTACACCACTGCCCGCAAGATGCCAGGGACCAGGGCAAGATATCTGAAAGCCATAGAAGTCTGATGAAATAGATAACTCAGAAAGAGTCTACTTTGACAAGGTCTTCGTGATAGGTTTTCCAAAGCTGGGACCAAAACGTTGACAAATTTGGATTCTGATCTTTCAAACGTGAAGAAAATTTCGTGGCAAAAGTTTATCAAGGGCGCAGCCAGCATAGGCGGGAAGTGCACGAAGCATGTTCAGCGCCGATTTTGAACTTTCTGTTCCAGCCATTTATCGTGAAAAAATCCGAACCCAAGATACTCCTCTTTGGCCGCGACCCTGCTACTGACCATCGGCGTAAGACCGTTACAAAAAGTGAGCGGGTGGGCAGAGGCTCAGGGTATCTTCAGGAACTTTAACTGAGAAGCAAACTCGGTGACCGGGCGGGGGAGATGGGGTAGATACGGAAGCTATTACACGCTATTAATTCACATCACACATTTTTGAAATAGTTACATGTAAATACTGCTATATAACTGATATATGTATATATATATATATATAGATATAGATATAGATAGATAGATAGATAGATATATATATATATATATATATATACATACACACACACACACACATATATATATATATATATATATATATATATATATATATATGCAGCTGTTTCCCATTGGTGCACAATTTCGCCCATTCGACTTATCTATGTCATTCGACAAATAAAACTATTGTTTCCTAATATTATTCATCCATTTCAACATTGCTTTCCCCGGGGAGGCGAACAATTCCACGAGGGGATACGTATTTTTGGTCACTGGGGAGGCATCTGCCTCTACAATGTTCATGACGAGATACGACCAGGACACAGGCTGACCAGAATTTTGGGTGCAAGTCAATGACCCATAGTACGCCAGAGTTTCCATGCGCCAAGAATTCACTGATTTCAAGAGATGAGATTTATCGCAGCGTTTTAGGTGCAGACAAAATCGGAAGCTTAAAATACTTATTGCAAAAAACAAGGTGACAACCCTTGAACCGGATTTCTTCCGAAAATCCGAGCCATAGGATGAATGTCCTTTCTTACATTCTTTATTTGAGCCCTGTTCCCGTTCGCCGCAGGCGGCCGCTGCCCTGAACCGACTGTTCCCGCATGACTGACTGTGAACTGACCACAGGACTGCTTCGCGGCATATTTATGAATTCGCATTACTACTTATTTGCGTGTAAAGCATATATTGAACACCTGCAACAGCATTTTTCCCCGAAATATCCTCCCTCACACCACACCACAGCAGAAAATAAGCTTTCGGAAAGCTGCCTGCCTTAGGCATTAATTGGTTCACCGGACATTTATTTGCCCCTCATTCAACGTGGACGACTTCATCTGCTTTTGTACGTAGGCAGGAGCAAGCAAGCGCATTGCCAAAGGCGGCACAAGGTCAACGAAAGTCTTCCGTTTGATGACGCCCTTCCCCCCCCCAAAAAAAATTGCCGGATATAGCTCGCTTGTTAGCAAGGAGCACAGTTGTCTTCGTTTTTTGTTGTTGTCATTTTCATCTTGTAGCCAGAACAAAACCAGAAGTCAGAAGCTACTGCGGGATCAATCCTGTTTGCATTTTGAAGTCAATAAACTGTAGAAATCAGGTGTTCAGCGACGGCATGAAATACATCACCGGCGTTTTTTTATTATTTTGGAATGGATCGGTAAACTCTTTCTAAGCCTATGGAACTAAAAAAGTTTGGTCAGATTTGTTTTTGTATTCCTCAGAAATTTTGAAGAACCCTGAACGTGGATTAAAGATCAAAATGGGGTCGCAAATTAGTATTTCAATCGCTAGCCATCGTTCGTTTAAAAAAATTCACGTTTGGTCGAAAACTGGGCACTGAGAAAGTTGAGGAACATGGTTTTGAACATGCGCGCTCGCAGCTCCTAGCAAAAATAGCTGCGACATCCGGTGTTGCAGTCTCTATAGGTCGCGCGGTCGGACTCGTGGTGATGCTAAGCGATGGACAATGGGCAGACAAAAAAGATGCCGCATTTTGAGGGGGATTGCTGGCATCACAACCACCTCTCACGGAATCAAACTGAGCCATCTGCTGGAAAGATCGTAGCCACCATGTTTTTGGACACAGATGGGTTACTGGTGGATCTCCTAAACCTGGCGATACGGTCGACCAACAATCAACGACGCTTGGGGTGTAGCAAAAGCTACATAAAGCAACTCAGAAAACTGCGTTGATGTCCGCACGCTGGGAAATACGGACGGCGTTCTTCAGCAGTATGCTCTGCTTGGTTGCCAGGGTCCGACATCGCATCCAGCCATCAGGGCGGATCTAGAGGGGGGAGCACGGGGTCACGCCGCCGCCCCCCTTCCTTGGGCCTCAAGGGCCCATTGGCTCCTAGGGGCCCACGACCGGCCGAACTGGTGAAGTTTTTTTACACAAAACGCATTAAATCTCTGGACTTCCAGGCGACCAAGAACAGCTGCAAGCGAAAGTGAAGAGCCGGTAAGAAGTCCAGAAAAATATTGAATGATCGGAAAAGTTGTTAACTGGAAATATTAATCCCAATTACATTGTCTAGGGGCTCATGCTGTTTCCGGGGGACCTATAAGCCCACTTGCAAGATCATTTCGATCGTTAGGGATCATTCTACGTTGCCTTCCATTTCTTTGCATTTGCTCGGAGGGCCCTGCGCTGTTGTTAGGGCCTTTCTTGTTGGAGCACTGGGACACTCTTGTCAATCATGGGCCTTTCCACGGATTCTTTTCATTCGCCAGAAAGGCTCTGTGAGCTATAGCCGGGGTCCCATATCTTAACCCGCCGAAGTACTGTCGGTTGCTCAGGGGCCCTTCACGTGGGTCTCGGTTAACTTACCGACACATTTGTGATATGCTCATGAGCCCACTACATTGGTCTAGGGCGTTTCCAATTCTCTGTCACTTGCTTAGGGCCCTACACCCCTGTTGGGGGTCCATGTGATGGCTTGCTTGGGCACACTCAGTCGTTCGGAGACCCTCCACACTGGGTCTTGGGTGCTTCTTTTCTGAATTCGTGGGCCCTCTACATTGGGCCTTGGGCACGTGCTATTTTAATGGGGTCCTACACCCTTCCCGGGGGCCCCTCTGTTCGCCTCCTCGGCCACACTGGATTGTTGGGGGGGGGGGGGGGGAGGGGGCTGCACATTGGTTCTTGGTGTTTGAGTTCAGGGCCCTCTGCTCCTATCGGGGTCATCTGATAACTTGTTCTTGGACACTCCATCTTCCAGGGGCCCTCCGTACCGGGTTTTGGGTACTTCTTATTTCAATGAAGGGCCTTACGCTCCTGTCAGGGCCCATTTTGATAAGATGCTCGGGCCCATTCGATCATGGGGGGCCTCGACATCTTGTTTTGGGTACTTCCTTTTTGAATGGAGGGCCCTCCGCTCTTTTCGGGGACCCTTTATATTAACTTGCTCAGGCACACTCGCATATCCGAGGGCCCTCCACATTGTGTCTTGGGCACTTCCTATCTGAATGGGGGGGGGGGGGGGAGGCTACGCACTTGTCGGGGACCCATCTGTTCGCCTCTTCGGCCACACTGGATTGTTCTGGTGCCTGATATATTGGATCTTGCTGTTCGAATTTGGAGCCCTACACTCCTGTCTGCGCCACCTGATAATCTGCTCGGGAATACTCCATCTTTTGGGGCCCCGCACTGGGTTTTGGGTACTTCTTATTTGAATGGAGGACCCTAGCTGTAGTGTCTACGTATCGTTGAAATGAAAATAATTCACATTCCCCTGTATTACGATACCCTCCCGGGCCACCATATGAAATGAACCCCAGTTGGTCTTTGAACAAATAAACAGTCTCCCCACCGACTGTTACCGCGCGTTTTATGGTTCACACCGAACCAGACCATGCGCGAGCTGATCCAGCTCCATAAACACTACACTAGATGTTGACGGGGACCCCTTCTGTTTATCTGCCCTGACACATTCGATCATTCGGGGGCCCTCTACATTGGGTCTTGGAAACTTCCTATTTGAATGGAGGGCCTTACGCTCTTGACGGGAGGCCCCATGTGTTAACCTGCTCGGGCGCACTCAATCGTTCAGAGCCCTACACATCATGTGAGCATTTCTTATTTGAATGGATGGCCCTATGTTCTTAGTGGGCACCATCTATTCAGCTGCTCGGGCCGGTGGCGGATGCAGAGGGTGGGGAGGGGGGAGGGGGGGCACAGAACCATGCCCCATGGACCATGCCGAGGGGACCCAAAGGCTCCAATGGGGCCCATAACAGGCCGGACGAATACAGCTTTCTTCCAACAAAGACATACCAAAGTTGGTTGCCTTTGAACCTACAGACGAACAAGAACCATTCTTAGCAAAAGTAAAGAGTTCATAAGCAAACGAAATTCACTCCTCCCTGATTCAAAAAGTGATGCTTGGGGCAAATTTTGAGGCTCATTGCGCTGTCTAGAGACATCACGCTGTTGGTTGTCTGGTCTTAAATGTCCACTTGCCGCGTCAATCTGATCGCTAAGGAGCCTTCCACGCTGCCCTTGAGCTCTTTGCATTTTCTGGTAGCGCCTAAGGTGCTGTTGGGACGCTATCTGCCTCCATGCCTGAGCACTGTCGATCAATCAGGTTTTCCTGCACAGATTCTTCCCACTCGCCCGAAAGGCTGAATGCACTTTTCCGAGGCCCCATATGCCAGCGCACACTCAGCTGCTCAGGGGCCCTTCATTAAAGTCTCGGGTTCTTTCCACTTGATTAGAGGGCCTTGCGCTGTTGCTAGGGCCCTTATAAGGTAAGGCACGGAGACACTCGATGCTCAGCGGCCCCCTACTTTGATCGAGGTCTCTCCCCCATTGGTCTCCTTTCTGGAGCGACTCTTCACGCCTATCGGGGCTCGTGTTGTTAACCTGCCCGTATATTCTTGATCTCACCGGAGTATAAATTTATGGTCTTGGATGGTTCCCCTTTGCTCAGAAGGTCCTGTGCTATGGCCGGGGACCTATATGTCAGTCTGTTGAGGCCCAACCGATCGTTTCAGGGTCCACCACGTTGGTCCTGGGTCCTTCCTGCTTGCTCTGAGGACCGTATACTTGTTGACGGGAGCCACTTCGTTGGCCTCCTGCGGCACCCATGATCGCTCAGGTTCCGTCCCTATCGGCCTTGGTGCTTTTGCCTTACAGCAATAGCCGAATATGCGCCGGGGAATTTTTACGCGCAATTGCCGAACGTAACTTTACATGCCGCCGACGTCGTCATTTCCATCGGCTATTGAGTGCGTGACACTTATTATACTGGTACATCACGTTCTTAAAATATTTTGAATGTTAAGATACGTTGCAGTCCTTTACAACAAAGGAAAAATGCTGCATTAATCATCAGCCATCAGCTGATAACATCCCCAGCCGGCAAGCCGTAAATACATAAGCTAGGAATTAAGATGGTTGTTAGCAGCCAACTCAAGTTTATTTTGCCTGCTATTCCGAAACACATGGCCTCAAAATCAGAGCATTTAGCATGATCTGTTTAAAATGGGTGAGCTCTATGTGTATGGATGCGTAGCACACCTAGCTTTATAGGGCTGTGCACAGTAAGACGGGTTTCCGTTTTTGCTAAAAAAATGAATAAGTACATATATATATATATATATATATATATATATACCATTGCTCACTGCTTGTCTTGAATATAATGACAGAAATAATGCAAGGATATTTTTGGAGGGGCCTCCAAATCCAGGGCGCCCCCAATGTTGCGTGGTCACCCCTCCCTTGACGAAATCCTGGATCCGTCCCTGTTAGTCATAACCCGCACGGGATAGATGCGGGTGCCGTGGTGCACGCGTAACACCGCTGCCGCCGCACACCGGTGACGGCGGCTGCGTTTTGGCATAGTCACTGGTCACATAGTGACCAGTGACTGTGCCCAAATGCTATCACATAACCCAGCACCGATTCTCTAACCTTGACGTCACGAGCATAGCCAGCTGACAATTATTCTGCAATCCCGGCAATGCTGCGTTTATGGTGCACACACGCGTCACATTGGTCGACGATGAAATAAGCCTGCTTCCTGCGCGGGTGGTATGGGCGTGGACCGCGGGCGTGGACGGTGGGCGCACGCGCGGTTTCGTGGAATCGGTGGGTGCGCGCTGTGGCTAGGTGAGTGCACGTTTGAAATGAGATCAGCATTCGCCCGTAATATTCGAGTTTTATGAGTGCTTTCGATGTTTTTTTGTGAGGGCATCAGTGCACACTCAAGCTTAAATCCACAAAATTGCAGTGACCGAAATCACACTAATGAATTCGGGAAAATCATGTGTTTAATCAACAGTGAATATGATAAATGTGGGGAATTCTTACGTTTGATGCCCAATAGGATATAAGTCGCAAATGATGAATTTGTTCATATCCATTGCTTCCAAAGTTGCTGTGCAGTGTGCTGTCCATGTTTTAATCTAGGAAATATATAGTAATGTGCACAATTCATTTGACTTTGTGCTGCACCTGGGGCATGTGTGTAACAAACTCAGATCTCAAGGAATTCTGGTGTTCTCAGGTATTTTCCTGATAATTTGTAATGCATCTATGATTTGCCAGCTACAAATAACAGTTTTACCTACTATGTTTAAGGATGGTGAGGATCACCATGAACTTACCATCCAACATGTTGCACTCAGTGCCACCTTCTCCCAATTCGGAGCAATCCAAATCCTTTTGGTGGTTTTATTCCATGATTCAGTGCCTAGAGGATCATTATGGTTTTCTTAGAAAGTTGATGAGGTTCAGCCTCTCCAGCCTCAAATGATTCCTCTGCCTGTGATGAAGTCTGAGGTGAAGCAGACAATGTCTCTTCAATTATTTTATAAAGATGATTGTGCTTGTTTTTAATTGCAAATAAAGCAGTGATCCAGAAACTAAGACCTAGGCAGAACTCTTGCACTACTTTTTTATGCTCCAGTGCATTCAGTTGTGGTAAGCCACATATCTCAGATTATAAAGGGGGTTATTTATATTATTGCAGCTTGACCCATAGCCACTATGCTTCAGCATGACTCAGTGATCATGCTTTGACATCAGGGAAAACCACAGGCTGCAGAAGAGCACCTTTGGAGCAAACATGTGTTGACACTTGGCATGAATAAGGGCATGTTTCACAGGCTAAGAATAGGAGTAAACCCTGACTGGACAATGGATCAATCAAAAGGTTGTATTGCTGACTTGAGGATTCTCTCACCCCTTTATCAAAAAACTTCATGAGGTACAGCTCACAGCTTTGGCATTAGGTAATGCACGCTGACCATGTTGCCAGGGTTTCAAACTACAGGGTTAGTTTGCCCCATCTATTTGCCTTAACCCTCACCATGATCCTCACATTTTTGTAACACAGACTGGGGAAGGGGGAGTTCTGACCCCTTGCTGTTTTCAAGCTTAGAAAGAAAGAGCCTTACCATTGAAAACCATTGGATTTGAAAACCATGGAAAAACCATTGGATTTGGCTAAACAAAATTTCAAACTTGATAGTGGGATGCTGCTAGGTCAATAGTTGATTGCATTGCACAAGGTTGAGGTCAGTTTTTATGAAGATCTTGCATTCTTTCAGCTTAACATGTACATAGCTGTAAAGTGTGAAACTATACCCCATAGAAGTATGAAACTTACACAGATGTTTCTGGCTTAATTTTGGGCACATTGCGATGCATTTCTTTGTGTCGAGCATACTCTTATATTAAAAGCCTTTATTAATGTGACAGCATAGGCCCTATGTGCCATCAGCAGATTCATTGGTGTCCACCCCTGGGTGCAACACTGAGATATATTTTTGGTGTTGAACATACACTTATGTTGAAGGGCTTTATTAGTGTGACGGCATAAGCCCGATGCACCATCGGCAGACTCGTTGGCATCCACTCTTGGGCGCTGGCAGTTGATTGCTGTGCAGTGTTCCTATAAATATCATTACTCTGAAACCAGAAGAGCTAGAGATGCCGGATGTGTAGTGATGTGTAATAATGTGAGGAATGAATGCCTCAGACTACTGAAAATCTGGGCGTGTTAATGTGATGCTCCGGTGAGGTGTCCTCAGAATTTAAAACCTCTTTGGGATGTTTGGGTTGATCACCAGCACTTTTTGGCAGGGCAACAGTAGTAGTACTGAGGTGCAGTCTGTGTTGGAGCATTGACGCAATGCAATTACACAACCTTTCATGGGAAAGATTTGCTTTATTTGCAAGTAAACATGGCCACATTTGGTGGGTTTTTAACCCACTGTAGCTGTCACTCGCTGTTAACAGAACCCAGCGTGCTATCCGTTGGACCACACTGGGAACTGAACGCACGACCCTATGTGCTCACTAATGTTAAAACACACCCAGTGACAGACACATATGTAAGTTTTTTTGTTGGTATGACCTGTGCCTAGTTGTTGGTATGACCTGAGCGTGCTGTGGCCGGCTTGTGCCCCAGACCGTTCTCGCGAGCAGCTGGTGCCCGGTGACAGGTGATGCTGGCGATCAGCAGCCCGACGTCCGATGACGTCCAGCTATGAGCTGCACGCGCCGGGCAAGAGCAAGCTGGTCGGTCAGGTGCAACAGCTGGACGAGGTGGAGCTGATATCGATGGGTTCGCAGCCCGGCATGGACGACCCGCAGGCGGAGAGCAGCCCGGGCAAAGCCCCGCAGGTCAGCCCGCGGCCGTCCCTGCCGCGCGTGCGCAGTGTAAACTGACGTCACGCGCGCTGCTGTCAGGGCTGAAATATCCCCTCGCTGATAAGGCGCGGGGAATGATGACCGTCACAGGACAGATTCTTGTGTGACGTGGGGCACCTGGGGCTATGATGGAAGCATTGCTCCAGTGAGGAAGGGAATAGGTCGAAAGGGCAATGTAGTGAGTGGAAGGCCAATGCAATGACGAGAGAAGTTGATCTTGAAGAAAGTATCGTAACTAGCGATAAAACAATTATCTCAAGGGGAGGGTACTTTTCCAGCAAAGGCAGTACCTCTTTGTTGATGGAAGAAGTGTGGAAATGGTGGAAGGGTTTCTGCTAGCGACAGGAGGACGTGACCGAAGTACATTGGTCATTTGTGTCAGTGACGCAATTCTTGAGTGTGTGACGATAGGACGTGGCCCATCGACGAGAGACCAACAGCACGTGGCCCATCGACGAGAGACCCAGAGCCAGTGATGGGGCTGTGTGTATATTCATTGTGTGCTGTGTCGTGACAAAATGCCGAAAATTGTGAACAATTTCAGTATCTTCCGGACCAGTACTTCAAGGATGGAGAGCGAAAAGTTGATTTTATCATTGTTCGTACTCGCGATCAAGCCGCTTCTGAATTCGCCCATACTACTCGTCAAGAGATCTTTGAGGAGAACCTGGTAAGTGCCCATGTATTTAGTTTTGCGTGCACATGATTCAGCTGGCATTGGTTCTTTGAATGTGTCAAATTATATTCTGCTCATCCATGTCATAGGTACAGTACATAAATGCAGTACTTTGAGGAAACATTATTAATGAATATGTTGTATTTGTTTTTGAGTCGTCACTGTTTCCTCTGTTTCCAAGTCACGCTTTACCTCTAAAAGAATATAATTTCATCGGAGTATTATCAGCTCTGAGATCATAGCCTTTGCAAAGCAGTTGCTTGCAGAATATGCGATCGGGGTGTTTTTCATGTTTCACAATGTTTCTGCCACTTTTTGTAAGTATGTTATGCCACAATAGGAGTATTTTTCGTAAATTCTGGAAGGGTTTGTAAGCTTTTTTAAGTTTTTTTCCCAGAAGTTTCGGAAATAGTCATGGCCCAAAGCTCAGGCAAGTATAGCAGCTGGTCAAATAACTTCAAACCTGAGGCATTCTGAAATTGGTTTGCCAGGTTCTTTGCCATCCTGTTAATGCCTGTTTCTGGAAAGAATGCACCAGGATTGTGAATCTCAACAAATTCACATGTATTATCTGATATCACGAAGCATGGTATTGATAATTTGGTTCATTATTTGTTCATTCCATCTAACATGCAAGTCATAGCATGCATCAGCTTGCTGGCAGCATTATTGCCTTCAGCATTGGTTTAAGTTCACTGCCAGCAGCACATGCCTGTTCGAGCTGGGCGTCTAATTTTTGACAATTTTGGGTGGGCGAGGCGAGATGGATTTGGATGATTGCATTGGTTAATGCCATTTTGTTTTTCTCTGCAGAGAAAGGAAGGTCTTGAATTGGAGGAGGAAAAGATCGACGAAAACAGCCCGCTGACGTTCGTAAAGATCCACACGCCATGGGAGGTGCTCAGGCGCTATGCCGAGATTCTCAAGATACGCATGCCCATGAAGCTGGTGAGATATCGCACCCTCAAACGCAGCGGCGTAGCGAAGCCCTGGCTTTCCCAACGACCTGGCTTCGTCGGAACGCTACAGACAAAATCAGGAGTTGTATGGCTGCTTTATTTTGATTCCGTGTGTGGCGTTTGATCCCTGGCGTCGTGCGGTCGTGCCGCGATCGTGCGGCGGTCGTCCGGTGGTGTGTGCGGCGTTGTTCGGACGTGCCACGGGTGCCACTGTCCGCGCCTTTTGTGTGACGTAACAACTGCACAGCTTGCTCGTCCACGGACTTGTCGGGCAGCATCGCCACAACCGCTTCGCCGCTTAACCCGCGTGCTGTGTGTTGGGCCGGTGGCGCGCTGCGTAGTGTCCGTTCTGACCGCGGGCGCCTCCGGCTGAGCGGTGCACGCGCCCGTCCGCAGCCGGCCGGCCTCAACGCGCGCGAGGATTTCATACAGAAGGTGCCCGTCATCCGCGAGATTACCGACCTGGTGCAAAGCGTCGACAGCAGCCTGTTCGGCGTCAACCCCAAGAAGTTCCCGCCCAAGAACCAGAGCCTCACCGGCGTCTACAGCCGGGACCGCGAATACCTGTGAGGGTCGGCGGTGGTGCTGGCGTCAGTCCTCCCCGATGTGCGACGTTCTGTGAAGCTGTTGCGTTGGGAGCTATTCGCGGTGTTTCGTCACTTGCTGTTCAGAACAGTTTGTGCTGGGCGAAATATTGGGGCAGGCGCGTGTTCAGTGGCAGATCCAGGCGTCCGAAGGTAGAGGCTGGATCTTCAAATGGGAAGAAGGCTAGCGTGTCGAAAGCCCCATTGACATATTCCCGACCCGTAGACTAGCTGCAAGTCTCGAAAAAAAAACATCGAGAAGGTCAAAATCTATTAAGAGCGCTGCAAGTGCACTGGATACACCCAAAGGTGATACGTGGTGCTCGCAGCTGTGGATTCCCCAGGCCTGTTCCAATTGGCTCATTCACTTGTTGGGAGTCCCATGCGTTGTTTGTGACTGGGCTCTGTTTAGCTATTTGTGATGTTCTGAGAACCCGAAGGCCTCTGGACGAATCCCAATGTGTACCTCTCCCCGCCAGCTTCCGCGTGTCCCGCGACACCTGATCCTGACCCGTCCATACCAGTACAGTCTGACCAGCCAGACCGGAGCTGGCTGGGCCAGCGTGAGCTGTAGGCCGGCCTGATCTGCGCGACCTGTCCTTCCTGATGCGACTAGGTCCGTGAAGGCTGAATATTTCTTCACGTCGCTCTGTGCTAAATCATGAAGCGTGCATGCAAACTGGTTCTAGTGCGCGTATGGCTGCGTAAACGCGGCCCCATCACGCTCAATCGTCGTCAGCATCGTCGCGCTTTTGTGGGCACGAGCCGTGAGGTCGCTGTTGTAACTGAAGCCGGATGTTTTCGTGCTGTCGTCGGTTCCGCGGACCTGCGCACGCGCTGACCCGCCGCACGGCGGCCGCCGTCAGGTTCGACATGTCGGAGGGCTTCTTCACGCCGGCGGTGCGCGCGCGGGTGGTGGCCTTCATCCTGCAGAGGAAGTGGTTCGTGGCGCATGATCCGGAGCACGAGTCGCTGATGGACTTCGGCATCGACAAGCTGCTGACCGACAAGACCTACCTGGCCAGCTACGCTCCCCACGAGGTGAGCGGTCTCGCCGTCTCGGGACCGCCGCGACGCGTCAGCGCGCTCTCGCCGAGCGCTGAGCTTCGTCTCTGTCACAGGAGCTTCTCAGTTTGCGGTTGTGGATACTGATCTTGTGGTCTCGCTGTAGCAAGTTTTGCAGTAGCTCGTTTGTTTGACTGGATTATGTGGTCTTTCCCAGCGCATTTTGTGTCACGGCTGGGCGTATTACCCGGCCCGTCCTGTTTTCGATCCAGACGTCGGCCGACTGCCTGCTGACCGCGGCGGAGTCGTTAGTGATTAAGCCTGGTGCCGTTAATAATGTTCCGACGAATGTCCGCCTATCGGCGTAACATCCGCATCACTGTACCGTCGATCGCGGTCATGGTAAGCCTTCTGACCAGTGTGTGGCGTTGGTCGTCACCGAATAAACGCTATGTTCATGTTCGGCGCACCTGTCCAACAGGTTGCCCACCTCTTCGCATTTGGCTCCCTGTAGAACTGGAGCTACGGGGTCAAAGTGTGTGATTGGTTGGTTCCTCGAGAGATCAACAACGCTCCATTCCACGCTTTCATTCACTTCCGCTGATTTCCTCTGTCGTGGTACATTTATACTGAACAGCGATCATCGGTGTGCGTTAACATTCCTGCGCGGCAGCGTCGCTGTGCCAGCAGAATGTGCGGAGGTCTGGAGTCAGCTTCCGAGTCTTGGCTGGGTCAGACGCGGACCATTGCCACACTTTCAGACCTCGGCGTCGAAGCGTGACCCCCTACATCAGCTGACGGGCCGACACGCCTTGGGGGTGCCAGCTGGACCCCCGCCGCCCCCGCTCTGACCGGGCTCCTGGCCGGCGTCCCTCCGCTGCGCAGGGCGACGTGCGGCGGCCGGGTAACCTGCGCTCGCGGCTGCGCGCCGAGTGGGCCTGCCTGCGCAAGTTCTACCGTCACCAGCCGCTCGACTACGTGCAGGAGTACTTCGGCGTCAAGATCGCCATGTACTTCGCCTGGCTGGGCTTCTACACGTACGCGCTGTTGCCGGCCGCCATCGTGGGCATCATCTGCTTCGTCTACGGCATCGTCACGCTGTATGACGACACTCCCAGGTCGGTGGTGGCGAGGGGCTCAGGATAGCGTATGATATTTGTGACTGGCTCTGGTTGTTCGCGTATTTATTTTAAAGGAACGGTAGTAATGTGAAGCATGCGAAGTATACCGGAACACCTTGGGGACCAGTGCTTATCAGTTTTGCCCCGCGATTTTCACCGCTGTTGTCATGCTAGGGGGAGCTAGGACTGACATTGTGTGACCCACAAAACTTGAAGACTGTCGTTTTAGTTCCTACACTATCGTGACCCGGTGAGGGGTTCACGGTGGCCCTTTCGTGGCCGTGATTCTGAGGCCAGTGGGCCATTTCAGTAATGACATCTGCGCCGACAAAGAGGTCCTGATGTGCCCGATATGCGACGTGTTCTGCGAGTTCTATCGGCTGAACGACACCTGCACGCACGCTCGGGTCACCTACCTCGTCGACAACCCATCTACACTGTTCTTCGCCATCTTCATGTCCTTTTGGGGTGAGCGGTTGAGCACCATTGTACATCTTGCGTGTGATCTGCTGAAGCTGCCCATTACCCAGGCTGGGCTTGTTCGCGCTGGCGGCGTCCCAGCAAGTCTAACGCTTGGTTTTCCGTCGCAGTTTGTGCGTGTTGGGAAGCGACGCACATGACACGCCAGCGTTTGCTGAGCATGCGGGCACTCAGTGGCAGTTGTATTTCAGGGTAGGGGAGGGGGAGGGGGGGGGGGGGGGGGGGGGGGGAGTGGACAGATCCAACCGCCAGTGATCAGATGTCCTTCGCCACCTCGCGCCGCGCGCTCGTTGTGGCGGTCGGTTGACCGCGCCTGCCGTGTGTCGGCACACAGCGGCGCTGTTCCTGGAGATGTGGAAGCGCTACTCGGCCGAGATCACGCACCGCTGGGACCTGACCGGCTTCGACCTCAAGGAGGAGCACCCGCGGCCCGAGTATCTCAGCAAGCTGAAGGACCTGCGCCAGGAGGTATCGGCCGTAGCCAGCTCACGCATATCGGTCATGCTGCATGATGGACGACTGGGTTTACAACGTCGGTACCCGTTAATGCGCCTTTTGATGCCCATCAGATACGCCCTATCTACTTTTTCCGTTGTTTCCCTCGTCGCTTGTCTTGCAAGCTAATCACCGCCGATGTCACTACCGGCCGTGCTGCGAGCCGTGCATCTGTCTGTTTGGAACTAGAACACGAAGAGGTCTGGACTAATAAAACACCGCCATTGCTGGGTGTAGAACCGGGCGCCGGACTGCGACCCTGCCATTATCAGTCTGTCATCGCATGCGCTGTGCCGAGCGGCTTGGCCTTGCTGACCCCGCGCTGTCGGCCGCCGCCAGGTGAACATCGTGACCAAGCAGCTGGAGCCGCGCGTCAGCTTCTGGAAGATGCGGCTGCCCAGGATGGTGGTCAGCGCCTCAGTCATCCTGCTGCTGGTCAGTGAGCGGGCGCTGGCCGGCAGCCGTTGCCGCCGCCGCCGTCTGCCAGTGGGGTGGCGCGGGCTCCCCTCCTTCTCGCGTGGTCGTGCAAAATTGTGGCGCACGCGTCGAGCTGCAGCTGCCTCCGGCGTTCCTAAGCATTACTTGAATTCAGATTAAGCTCCGCAGTGTTCGTAAACGTGCTCACTTTGCCGCCTTTCGCCGCCAAGCCCCTCCTGACGGTGCATTCTGCCGTCGTTTGTTCAGATCACGGTGGCGGTGGCGATCATTGTGGGTGTGGTGTTGTACCGACTGTCGGTCCTGGCTTCGCTCGCCTACTGGAAGAACAACTACGTCAACAGCTTCGCCCTGATCTTCACCAACGCCACGGCCGCCACCATCAACCTCGTCATCGTGCTGCTGCTGAACCAGGTCCGGAGCATCCTCTTAGTTGCGGGAAACGCACTGAGAGGGAAGAGTGAGAAGACTTGGTAACAGCAACCAGATCAGACCAAGGCCATGCCACTTTCATGATCCAGCTCTTACAGCTGCCTTCTGGTGGGCAGTAAAGTGGGCTCCTTTGTGTGGTTTGAACAACCCGGGGAGAGTGCTGTTTTGCGGGGTTTTAAACACCTAGCTATCACATTGAAGGGGTCAAAATTAAGGTCACTGGCTTGCATTATGTGCCTAAGCGTGGACGAACAGGCCTTGATCGTGGTGTGCTTGAGCCAGGTGTTCATCCGGGCAGGCGAATACTTGGGTGGCATTGGCACGGTTCTGTCATGCTTTGCGCGGGATGCGCATTTTTCTTTGTCTGCCATTCCATGCTTGCGCACCGATGGTGCACGGCGTCGGGTTGAACCGCCCTGACGTGTTGAAATAGTTCATGCGTGCCCGTCGGATGCATGCTTCACAAACTCCCATTGTCGGCAGGTGTACAACAGGATCGCCCGCTTTCTGACGGACCTGGAGCTGCCCCGCACCCAGTCCGAGTACGACGACAGCCTTACGCTCAAGATCTACATGCTGCAGTTCATCAACTACTACGCGTCCATCTTCTACATTGCCTTCTTCAAGGGCCGCTTCCACGGTTACCCGGGCCAGTACAACCGCATCTTCGGCTACCGACAGGAGGAGGTGAGGCGGGGAGTGAACGGAGGACGGCCGTGGGTGACTCTCCAAACAGTCGGCCGTGGTGCCGACACGCGTTCACGGTGCTGGGTAGCGTCGTATGCGCGGAACTGCCTTGTTACGTAGTGAGCAAGCAACCTCTGCCATAGCAACTGGAAAGTAGCTCTTTAAAAAAGTATGGAGTGTAGATTGAAGTGATTTCAATGAATTCTTCGTTGTTGGCCTCTGTCTTGGGTCACACTGTTGTCTGTGTTGGTGGCACGGGCTGGCATTTGTGATGGCTTGCGCCTGGCTCCTGACTGTGCACCTGGTCCCTGACCGTGCGCCTGGTCCCTGACCATGCGTTGACCGGCGGCAGTGTGGTCCGGGCGGCTGTCTCTGGGAGCTCACCATGCAGCTGGCCATCATCATGGTGGGCAAGCAGGCGCTGCTGACCATCTGGGAGATGGTGCTGCCGTGAGTACTGGCGGGGCCCCGACAGCGCCGCCCGCCCGTCACCGCGGCCGGCGCGGGGCCGGCGCGCGGCGGCAGGGGTGCCTCGTGGCCGCCGCGTACCCGCGTCTGGCCCCGTGCGAGCTATGGCTGGGTGCGATGTCGGGCCCTGGGTGACGTTCCCCCGGTGACACCGCGGCAGCTTGGAGTGGTGGTGGCCGCGTTACAATGGCGGCTGTTCGCATGCAGTCATAGGCCGTGTGCCAGGCTTCCAACTAAGCAGAGCAATCTGCTGAATATCGCTGCCCGTATTTCACGGTGTGGAGGCATAAACGCAGTTTTCGGAACTGCCCTACGAAGCTTCTGCTGCATCTCAGCGTGTGGATCACTGTTAATTCATTGTATGGCCAGGCCCAGAAGATCTACCAGGACTCTATCTCTGTCTAGCAACGTAGTGGCTGCGATCTTTGCAGCAAATGACTCAGTTTGACCGATGAAGGGTGCCTGTGATGATCCCCGTAGGATATCGTCCCTGGTCTCCCGGTCCGCTTCGAGATCAGCGCGTGTCGCTCGGCGGTCTTTCTCCGTGGCGGGCGTCTGACACATCCATCGGACGCACATTTGTCTGTGATGCAGCTGAAATATTCAGTCATAGTGGAGTCAGGTGCACTTGTCCGAGGACTTTTTTCGAATTAGACCGTCCAATCTGTCAATCGATAAAGAAAGACCTTCAGCTTCTGGTTTATCGGCATTATGGGCTTGAAGTTGTTAGATTGAGTTAAGGACCTGCAATATACCAGTCCTTCAGCTTCTGGTTTATCAGCATTATGAGTTTAAAGTTGTTAGATTGAGTTAAGGACCTGCAATGTACCTGGAAGTACTGGTTAAACGGCGTAGTGTTAAATAACGATCGGCGATGTCAGTGGTTGGTACCAGTAATTCGTCCGTACCGTATTCTGTCATGGATGCTGTGGGGCTCACCTTTGAAGCACTGGACCTATCTAATATTGCTTATTGTCACGCTGTCCCCCCCCCCCCCCCCCAATATTCATGATGAAACCTGCCGTGAATTTTGTTCGTTGGATCTCCCTTGCCTGTACATGTACACCGCTTAAAAAGCGTCCTCGTCCTTTTGGTTTTAGGAATATATATGAGAACACCGTAGCCAAACATGGACGCTTTAATATATCCGCAAATTGCGGTTGAAATATTTGTGAAGACCATCGTGCTTTATGTATTCAACATGCCTGAGAGATGACGAAAGCCCAGGCTGATGTTTCGCGCATAAGAACGAGAGAGCCTCTGCGCCACCATCGCCTGGCGCCGACGGAGGTGGTATTGACGCTGGCTGCGTGACCGTGCCGTCAGGAAACTGTTCACCTGGCTGAGTAACCTGGGCAAGCTGCTGACGGAGAACAAGGAGGAGAAGCGGGATCTGCCGCGCTGGGCGGCCGACTTCGCGCTGCTCAGCTGGGGCACGCAGAGTCTCTTCTGGGAATACCTGGAGATGGGTGAGGCCCCGGACTCACGCAGAGTCTCTTCTGGGAGTACCTGGAGATGGGTGATGCCCTGGGCTGGAACTTCGAGTCGCGCGTAAGGTTGCCTTCCTGAACTTGAATGGGTGCTGGGGTTGTGTTCTGGAGGAATGTCTGGGTGCTGGAAGACGGCTATGTTCTGTGTGTGCGAGGGTACTGACGGCCTGTGCTGTGTATGACCTTTTTGGAAGTCACGTGGGCTTAGTTCTGGAGACAAGCTGTATTGTGGCTTGGGTTGTGTCCAGTGACGTGCCCTGCGATGGCTGCCCAATGTCACCATCGTTATCGGGCCACATATACCGCGTTACTGCGGTTGCCAGCGGTCTGGCACGACCTGCTGCCCTTTCCAGTGATCCAGTTCGGCTTCGTCACCATCTTCGTGGCGTCGTTCCCGCTGGCGCCGCTGTTCGCCATCCTGAACAACACGCTGGAGATGCGGTTGGACGCGCGCAAGCTGCTCACCTTCTACCGACGCCCGGTGGGCCAGCGGGTCCGCGACATCGGCATCTGGTACCGCATCCTTAACAGCATCGGCAGGCTCGCCGTCCTCAGCAACGTGAGAGCGCCGCCGGGGAACGTGGCGGGCGGTCGTGTCTAGACGGTGGCTTAGGTGGTGGAGAGGCGTCAGGGGGGGGGGGGGGGCGGTCGTGTTACGACGGTGCCGAGGTGATGAAGAGCCGTCACGGGTGTTGCCAGCGTATCCGGAGCGCGTGAGTTGAGCAAACATTAGTGCGGGGTGCTGAGCCTAGCTCACTGCAGAGTGAGTGTCGAGGGTATGTTTTTTTACATGTAGGTATGCGGTTTATTCCAGATTGTGTTGTCTGTAGAGATATTGGGACAGGTTTCGGCCAGTCCTCTGCGTTTCCAACTTTCAGCTGTCCAGGTGCTCACTTGGCTGCCGTGGAGTGACTGCGATCTGTCCTCACTCGGCAGGCGTGCATCATCGGCTTCACGTCCAACTTCATCCCGCAACTGGTGTACAAACTGGCGGTGAGCACGGATGGCACGCTGACCGGCTACATGAACCACAGCCTGGCCGCCTTCCGCGTCTCCGACTTCAGCCCGCAGTACCTGCCGCGCCGCAACGGCACGTTCGGCACCATCGACACGTGCAGGTGAGACGGCGGCCCGGACTGAGGTCAGGGACCGAGGCTGACCCGACAGGTCAGACGGCGGCCCGGACTGAGGTCAGGGACCGAGGCTGACCCGGCAGGTGCGGACGGCGGCCCGGACTGAGGCCAGGGACCGAGGCTGACCCGACAGGTCAGAGGGCGGCCCGGACTGAGGTCAGGGACCGAGGCTGACCCGACAGGTCAGACGGCGGCCCGGACGGAGGTCAGGGACCGAGGCTGACCCGGCAGGTGAGACGGCGGCCCGGACTGAGATCAGGGACCGAGGCTGACCCGGCAGGTGCGGACGGCGGCCAGGTTTGGGATCAGGGACCGAGACTGACCCGGCCGGTCTGAGCGGCACGCTGGGTGCGTCGGCAGGTGCGGGCGGCGCTGTCTGTAGGATGGGTGAGCAGACGAGCCACGTGAAACTAGGTTTAGCGTGATTAAACCCCGTGCGGGCGTTGTGGTGCGGTTGGCTGTACTTGGTGACCCACTAAGTTCGAGCATAGATTGCGCGTGTTCTCGGTATAGCGATAGCGAGTTCTCAAAGCGGCGGTTATTGAGTGTGTGACTCTGTTCTGAGTGCTGCACGGGATGGTGAGGCAGTGCTGCTGCGCGGGCAGGTACATTGACTATCGGAACGGCCCGGACGACCCCAACCCGTACCAGCCGTCGGCCCTCTACTGGCACGTGCTGGCCGCCCGGCTACTCTTCGTTCTCGTATTCCAGGTGAGGGATGTGGCCAATGGCGCAGATCGGTAACCACACGAACCGACGGCCACGGTCGAGATCGTCTTTCTTTTTACCTGATCAGTGGTGACCAATGTTAGACCTGTTGTTCGCGGCTTCTGGATGTGCAAAGGGAGTAAGTTAGCGTATAGCAGGTAACAGCTGAAAACGGCCCAGTCCTCTGGACTTCTCTAAGCGTGAACTGTTTTGGATACGGAGCCTCGTTTGAAGACGTCATTTTGTCTCTTCCTAGAACGTGGTATACGTCATCATGCAGCTGGTGTTCTGGATCACACCGGACATACCGCGGAAGCTGAAGGAGCGTATTCAGCAGGAGAACTATCTGGTCCAGGTGAGCCGCGCCCTCCAGCGCCACTGCCACTCCACTTGGGCATGTTGGCTCCTTAGAAGCCTGGGCAGATGCCGGTGCCTGCGCCAAATGTGTGCTGTCTGCGCCCTCGTATCGACTGCGGGTAATTAGTCGCAGCAGTCAGCTGCGACTAATAACGCTCGTGCAGTGATGAGTTTCAAGCTGGTTATTGCACCTCGCTGACCCGTGTTGGAACGTCGAGCTGTTCGAAACTGACCCTGATACCCGCCCCGCTGGAGTCGGTTGCCATGAGGCGTCGCCGTGAGCGGTCCCCCGTCCGAGACGCCAGCCCCGACAGAGCGGCACTCACCCGCGGCGTGTCGGCGCCGTCCGCAGGAGATGATCGTCGAGATGGAGCTGTACCGGTCCCGCGGCGAGGACCCCGACACGCTGGGCGAGACGCTGCTGCAGCGGATCGTCGGGGACCCGGAGGTGGGTCCGCGCGTCGCGCCGGCCGCCTGGTGTGTCGCGGCGCGGCGCCCGTCCCGTCCGACGGGTGCCGGGCGTGCGGAGCGGGTGGCGGTACGGATCGCGTGTCCCGGGCGGGGTGGTCTGTGACCTGACATGACCTGGCCTGACCGGCACGAGCTGAAGAGAACACGCTGATCGCAATGCTGTGTATAGATGCTTCTACAGTTGTTCCGGAGACGTAAGGGGTAAGTTTCCGGATCGGCAGCTGCTATATATATATATATATATATATATATATATATATATATATATATATATATGCGTACATACATACATACATACGTCACCACGCCATTCGCTCCGTGCCTGTTCACTCCGTCTTGACGTATGCGGCGCAAGCTCTGTGGCTGCACATACACCACACAGACGCACTGCCAGTGCGATGGACCTAGCTGCCGTGCCTGTGTATATACGGTGCGGTGGACTGGCGCATACGCTCGTTGCGGCTTTGCGACAGTTGTTATATTGCGTTGTTAATGGCACGGGCTCGTCGGCTGTTAGTCAGCCATTGTGACGCCGTAGGCGCGAGCGCCGTGACCTCGGCCGCCCCGGACCGTCGGCAGGCCAGTGATGCTGACGCACCCCTGTGTCCTCTGTCCCCGCCCCCCTCCCCCACCGCAGGATCGTTGCGGGGCAGAGCGTGAGTGGTCCTCTGGCCGCGTGCCGCCCGCTTTCGGCGTTGCATCTGTGTCAGTTGTCGCGGCTCTGATAATCTCACCGTACCGTGCCTCATGTCGCTACGCCGCCCTGCGCAAACGCACCGCTTACAGCGGTGGACGGTAGCGGTCCTGACCGGTCCCGACAGAGGTCATGCCTGCCCACGGCCGCAGTCCTGTCCACGGCCTCGGACGGGCAGCTGGGATCGGTGTCCTCCGCCTTCCCAGGCGCCTGTGGTCGCACTGATTTGTCGCTGGGTTTTTGCCAGCTTGTTACGTGCGGAGGCCGACCCAGCGGGTGGGACGCCGGCCGTGGGACATGGCCGGCGATGGATTCGGCCCTCAGCTCGAGCGGTGTCCAGTGGTCAGCATGCTGACCACGTACTCCGTACACACCTGCCGTATTAAATCAATGGATTTGGGCATGTACTTTCGGCATCGCTCTACCACAGTGCGACGAAGAATAAATGTCTGCTGCGTTATGGCGCTGCACAATAGACCACGTCTAGTTGCCGTTCGTCCTCGCTAACGTCCTCATTCTCGCTTTATCCTGAATCATCGCTGCCCCCTGTTTATCTGGGCGGGCCACACACTTCAGCCGTGAGTGGGCTTGCTTTCCCCCTGGCGGAGGCCCCGTCCGAGCGCCCAGCACATACCCGGGTTGGGGGTCCCTGTGCGGGGTTATGGTCGGCGGGGAACCCCAGATGCGTGTAGTGTTGCCTACCAATATCCACTCCCCTTTACCCTGAAGCCCTGAAATGACCAGGGCTGGCCGGCGGGGCCCTAATTCAAGCAATGTAACCCAGGTGCAGTCATCGGTGTCGGCATGCACACGTTACGAAGCTGAGCTGCCTCCGCGAGCTCGCCTGCTCGAGCCAGTCTGGGCTGAATGCTGCGCTTCCAGCTTGTGTGTGTGTTACTAATCCACGTCCACACGTCACGCAGACAGGATCAACTGAAGGGCACGCATGGTTGGCCGCTGAAACATTGCACGATTCACCACAAGATGTGTTGCGCCATATATGTGTAGTCGTCAAAGACAAACTGTGCTACCTTGCATTTTATTTGTTTTGGTTCATATGATTGTGCGTTATGATTTGGGCAAGCGACGTGATTTTTCTGGGGCGTTTCCAATGAGATACTTGTGGCAGATATCGCAGTAACATGATTCAGCTTTCTGTGGCCTTCATCTGTAACTTTTTCTGTGTTTTTATCATTCCATTTAGTATCCTTGTTTGCCTGCATCGTCTTATTTTATCCGGAAGAGCTGCATGCTGAAAGCGCGTGATGCACCGGGAGAGATTTCGCTCCAATATAAATGGGTTCTGGTGCATGCTGTGTGAAAGTTGGTGCATATCAATGGTTTTGAGTGCGCCTTGTGTACCAAATGCGAATGCGCCCTGTGGCTCAAAAGAACAGGACATTTCGCTTCCTTCGAAGGCGAAATGTGTGGTATTGGTTCCAACATTATACAAATTTACAAAAAGCCCATCAAATAATACGACTCATTATATGCATGCCATCGTGGCGTTTGTGCGGGGTTTGCGGTGTGCGTGATGTTCACGCTGCGCGTCGGCGAGGCAGCCGGGCACGTGGTAATGCTGATGCTGTTGTCCACGCAGATGCTGGAGTCGATGGTGTCGAGGTCAAGGCCGGATGGAGTGACGCGGAGGTCGACTCGGCACGCTCCCTGCCACACGTCCAGTGAAGACGCCGCCGGTGACTCGCACGAGAGGCTGCACGCGCAGGTGTGAGAGCCATCTGGAGAACGCTCGGTGAAGTTGTAGTTCGGGTGAAGACCGTCGGTAACAACTTTCAAGCAATTCTCAGGTTTTTTTGGTGATGCCTGGCTCGGTTCGGGGCAGAAGTGATGCTCTCTGTCTTGTCATTCTAATTTGTAGGCTCTGGTGTGGACGCACCGATGATGCATGCCTTTTATACTGTAGAAATACTTATTTTTCGGAAAGGAAACCACTCGATGCCTGTGCGTGTCGAGATTCGCCGTACTTAGGCTTCAGGGATCTTTTAAGAATACCATTATCTACTGAACCTCATCTTCACAATAACATTTGCTTAGGTGTCTTTTGTAGAACCGTGTCACGCGAGAGCTGTTCAAAACAGGTCTGATTGTGTGTGCTGCTGCTGCTTTCGCTCGGTGACCTGGAGCTGCAGAATGCCACCCAGGTCGCACACGAGCTTTGCCGCTCCTCCATGTATCCGCTGTGGTGCAGCCGTTGATGTCTGGGAGGGTGCCTATCTCTAGGCGTTTTGCGGTCTGTCAATGCCTTTCCGGTGTATTCAGATACGATTAATGATATTCTGATTGTCACGAGTGTTGCTCTGGCGATAGCGTGGCTGCCCTTCGTATGCGTGTTTTGCTCGCGTTATCATGGATACTCTTCATGACCACTCTTGCGTCAGTCAGCTGCCTTTGATATTTGATTAACAGTTTTTCGGGGCCTGCTGCGCTTGAACTATCATTGGATGCGAACGAGTTTAGTACACACGAGTTCAAATCAAATACTGCGATGTTCAAATAGCCTTTTCCAGATGTGTGAGCATTGCTAGCGACTTTCGACACAAGTCTGCGTTATTGTGCCTGGATAGGTAGCGGCGTGTACCGTGGGGCACAGACAGTGAACCGGGCTAGGTCTCTGACAAGTAGGATAAGGGAGGAAAGCAAGCGCCTTGTTTTGCGTGCTGCTGCGCCCTCCTCCGTAGGCGTTATCACCACATGTTGGTCATGCCGTGCTGTCGCACGATGTTGTGTTGACGGGTGTGTGCACAGAGCTTCCTCGTGCCACCACTGAACGCTGCAATATTGTGTGCGTCAGTCACGCCACGCACGCCAAGATGGCGTCATACGAGCACACGGCTGGGTGTGCCACGTGGTTGTATTGCTCTACAAATGATTATTTTTGTCACTGACGAGCGACGCTGCGCATGTCGACCGAAAGGCCACCAGCGGCCGTCAGGGTGGCCTTAGCTCTCCGTGTACCGCCGCGCGTCGCCAGTGAGCAGGCACGGAACTGCCGCCACCATTGGAAGCCGCCTTGCGTCGCATTCTGGGGTGTGTCTATGTTATGCCCGACCAGCTTGCCTGCTTCCCAATACATAGACTTGCATGTTTCCTGATGTCTGGATTAAATTCCCTTGCGGATGCTGAAAATCAGAGAAGCTTTTGATGCTGTAGCACTGGTTTCCATGATGCCTAAGTTGTAAGTTTCTAGTGCGCGTAGATACTAACTCGTGCATAGTTTGACAATGTCGTGAAATTCAGGTGTGGGATAGGTGTTTGCCCTCTCTGTCTCTCAAGGCCTGCATTCGTACACGCATTTTAGAGACTTCGTCTCGTGCGTTTATCCGTGCGGAATTATTTTCGCGTGTCCGCCGTGTTTCAGTGAAACATTCTCGGCCAGCTCACGGCTGGATGTGTCACGCCAATCACTGGACGTCGCTTACGCCGGCTTACATTCCTCGTTCTGGCCGCCGGCATTTGCGCAAGAACAATCGAGCCTGGACCACGCCGAACTTGACGTTGAGCATTGTTCCTTTGATTTTTCACCATAATAAGTATATTCCTACCTGCTCGTATCTGGGACGCAGGAGTGTCGCTTTGCTTTACAGACTGCGGATTCCAAGAGCTTTTGCTCCGTATTACGATGTCGCTGATTCTGAGATCTCTGAGATGCCTTCTTAGGCAACACAACAGTTGAATGAGCAAATTTCATTGACCTTAGGTCAGGTACGAAGGTCACACCAAGGTTAAAACCAACCTGTCTTGTTTCTCTAGGGCTTGCCGTATGGGGTAATTTCTGGTCTTCATTTCGAGTTTATTGATAGCAGAAACTGCATTATACACCTTCCATGGACTTCTGAGAGGTCAGAAAAGGTCATTGACCTAAAATGACCCAGGCCAACGTTTTGTTTTGGGAACATACTACCTAGCGTAATCTTTGTCGCCTAGCCAAATGCAAAACTCGAAGCAATCTTGTATGATTTTTGTCACCTTGACCTTCAAAAGGTCAAACAAGGTTACTTAATTTGAATGAGAATACGACCTTTTGCTCAGAAATGGTTATCTAGGTTCTGGGTGCACTTAGAAACCATCCTGGTACTTGACATTGTTTGACCTTTTGTGACCCCAGGGGCATGACCTAAGAACCTGAACCTTTAACCTAAGTAAGTTGACGTACAGGTCAACACACTGTAAATTTGGTATCTCGAGCTTTCTTAGTTTCCGCGATCTCCGGGGGGTCAAATGGACCCCCACCCCACCCGAGCGAAGGGTATCTAGCCGGCCACCCGGGCGCGTGTTAGCCGTGACTCCATGGGACGATGCTTGCTCGGCTCCGCCTCAGTGGCATTGACTCAGACTGTCCTCGTGTGGAGTCAGTTCTATCTGGACCGCTGCAATGCCGGTGGGTTTGGAAGACTACAGTTTCAAAAGAAAGGGGGATGCACCTAAATTTGCCAATGGTTCTACTGGAATGAATCCCAGTTTCAGTAATGCAGAAGATCACCCGGAATTACGGGTATATGCAGCTGACGTGGATTCACGGCAATCCGCACTCCTTCCTTGTACTCTGCTGTTTGAGTCATCTTTGTACTATAAGATAGGTGCTGTTCCTTGGCATATCACCGTTCGGTGCCTAGCGTATGTGCATCACCAAATATGACGGGTTAAAACTGTTAAGCAACCATCCAGCCTTGGGGACGACAAAGCTCCCTTTATTGTAGCTCGATCACCATGCCCACCACTCAGCTGTGTTGCGACGTTGCCCTTCCCACCTGACTTCGAAATGATCCGCAAACCTGCGCATACGCTCACGTTTGGCTATTGCTCTCATTACATCGTGGCGTGTATACAACGGCTGTTCGACCCTATTAAATGCTTTAGAAATCAATCAAGAGCGCGTCTCTCATGACAACTGAAGCATAGGAGTGATTGGGCGATTTTGGAACTGTCTCGGCGCGTCAGTGTTGGCCATTCTTTGACAAAGATGTCACGATAAATTGTGCTTTATTTTCGCCTGTGCTGTATCCTGTCTAAAATGAGCTAATATGGTGCTGGAAAACTGAAAATTACCAATAGATGTTATAGCTTGATCAGAGGCAAGAGCAAGGAATGAAGTTTTCAACGATTTCATGTCATTTGGTAATGACGATTTCGCCAAAACCAGATCGAAATGCGCTAGATCAGTAGCCATAAGAAACCATACATTTGATGACATGCAAAGGTGACATGAGATCTTTTTGACATGATGCACGTTTACTTGCGTACGGATATAATATTCGTTTGACCTCGGTTGATCTCAGTTCACGAGACGCACTGCTGTCTCTAAGCTTTGGAAAATAACACGTTTGACGCCGCAGAGATATCTAAGCGCGGCTCGTTTCGCGCAACGTCAATAAGACCAGTGATCGGGCTACGAAGCGTTCGCAGGATTTGGCGATGTGAGAGTCACGCCTAATAAAATGCACTGAGAATCAAGTTCAGTGTGCTGCAGATACGTGCAATTTGTTGCATGGCATAACACAACATTGCGTGTTCTTGATCTTTTAATTGTGAGGTGTCCCTCTATTTTTTAGCATTGACAACAAGCCGCGCGCATATTAACCCATGTGAAAAATTGATAACGAAGGATCACGTACCCCAAGGATCACAATGTGCCCTGATTGGATTATGCATTTGTTTTTTTTTTTTGTATTCTCACACGTCCTGCAGATAGCGGTGGCCGGTCCGTGGCTTTGCAATTGGCCGAATCCCACCCCGGCCAGGACCGAGCGCTCCCTGGTTGCAGCCGGTGTTTCCCTTTTGCGACCGAGCGCCCCTTGTCTGCAGCCGGTGTTCGTCTCTCGCGACCGAGCGCCCCTTGGCTGCAGCCGGTGTTCGTCTCTCGTGACGGAGCGCTCCTTGTCTGCAGCCGGTGTTCGTCTCTCGCGACCGAGCGCCCCTTGGCTGCAGCCGGTGTTCGTCTCTCGTGACGGAGCGCTCCTTGTCTGCAGCCGGTGTTCGTCTCTCGCGACCGAGCGCCCCTTGTCTGCAGCCGGTGTTCGTCTCTCGTGATCGAGCGCTCCTTGTCTGCAGCCTGTGTTCGTCTCTCGCGACAGAGCGCTCCTTGACTGCAGCCGGTGTTCGTCTCTCGCGACCGAGCGCCCCTTGGCTGCAGCCGGTGTTCGTCTCTCGCGACCGAGCGCTCCTTGGCTGCAGCCGGTGTTCGTCTCTCGCGACCGAGCGCCCCTTGGCTGCAGCCGGTGTTCTTCTCTCGCGACCGAGCGCTCCTTGGCCACAGCCGGTGTTCGTCTTTCGTGACCCGCGCGTGACGAAGCGCCCGCTTGGCAATTGCCAACGGAACGGCATGGAAACATTTGCGGAGCTGGGGCGTCAATCGTCAACGACTTTCTCTTTATGATAGTTAATATCTTTAACTCGGCTCACGCTCAAACATCAGGCAGTACATATCTTGTCCGTTAGGGTCTCAAAGTAAACATGGCTATGCCACGCAATCATTTGGTGCCCGTTGGTGACGAGGGTGGGATAGGACCAGATGTAATGGTAAGGGCACGCGCCGTCCATGCACCATTAACCCTCATTTTTTATTCCAGTATTGCCTTCATCCGTGACTTGATGCAATAAGACACGATCATCTCGTTAGCCCTCGCCCTAATAGGGGCGGGGGGTCGATGCGACTCCCCTCACCCCTCAGATTTTTTAAAGGATGCCTCCCCGTCATGTGCGATCGCGATTAAATTCACAGCAGTCTATGGTGCATTCATTATGTGTTTTGACACAAAAACGCTCGCTCCTGGTGTGTGTGGTTTCTGAGCAGCGGTAGTTTCTGGAGGACACTGCGCGGTGGTCTACGCCAGGCGCGGGCGGCGGGCGGCAACGGACGGTGCCGCGGAGCGCGCGCGGTGGGCCGACATTGTTAGATTTAAGGGAGTGTCCCACCTTTAGGGGGCACTTCTCTCAAAAACATACTCTAAGTGAAACATTAAAACCAGCTATATCTGATAATAGCAATGGTTAGTACCACTGCAGCACCGTCAAGACACCCTGTAAGGATATCAACTGTGATTATTTTCGAGTCCAAATTACGCTGGTAACGCTTTCTAACTGCATTACACTTCTTCCCTTCAGCGCGAACACCGTCGTCATAACAACCGCTGTGTCACCTCTTCTGGTACGAATAAAAGAACGTTTGTAATTTGCCCAGCGGGCAGCAAGGGCCCGTTACCGGGTAGCGCATTGACTGAACTTTGGACCAGTACATCAGTATGGACCACGCGATGCTCCCGCTCCCAAAGCCGAAGTGTGTCTCGAAGAGAGCTGCTGTGGTACACGCCATAGTGGATAGGGAAGAAATCGGACACACAGTACAAAGTTCTGCCGAATGCGCGGGGTAATAGTCTCATGTTCCCTTAGCCTTTTGTCTAAACAGTGTTTCGATCTTTCGTGATATTTTTGACACAAACATTTCGACAAATTAGTCTTTTGCTAGGATTACAAAACACATACGCTGGAAAAGCAAGAAAAATGAAATAAATTAACTTCATAGTGGTTAGCTGGGTGTCCATGAGATTTCTTTTCTACTTTAGGTTGCCATTCTGAGCTATTGAGAAGCATTTCCAGAAAACCGGTGTCAGTAATCAAATCGCACGCATCTGATCTAACAAGAAGTACAAAAAGATGCCTTACTCGCTTCAACGTAGCAATATTTGCTCAGAACACACTAAAATATTAACAACTGTACTAAGAATTGTACCAGGAGCAGGCCTGTTTAGGTTTCATGTCGCGACAGTGTATGGTCTCGTGTATATGATGTTGTAAAGCTGAAAGAATACGAATTCTGAGGAATATGCCTTTGACCTGGCATAATGGATCAGTTATTGAAGTAATTCTGCACCAGTCCACATAAAAAAATCATGTTGGCACCAATCTGGCGGTGTTTTCAGCTGAGTTCTAACTTAATTAATTTGGAAACGCCAGGGGGTCGCATTGTTCCCATATCTGTCTATTTTATGAAAACGTCGAATCAGGGGGAGGGTTACGTGGCGACAGGTGCGATTAAAAGGTTTGCATGGTCACAGCATGCCTGGTGACTTGAGGCCACGTAAGGTCAAAA